TCTTCAACAAAGAGGTGAAGGTTTTGTCTCTTTAGCTCGTTCAGGCGCGCCAATTCGTCTTCGAATTCATTGATTTGACGGACACCGCATCCCCTGTTTTTGTTGAGGAAAGTCTTAGTTTCGCCTTCAACGATGCCAAGTTTCAGCCACAAGGCCTCGACAGCGGATCTGAGGTCCTTTAGTCTCCTCTCGCGGTTCTTCTTCTCGTCCGACAGGCGATCTCGCTTCGTGTGAAGCCTGCTGAGATCTTCCTGGTGGAGACCAAGCTGCTCAGGCGCATCTCTGTAGTACTTAACAATCGCACCGTCTTGCTGAGCTTGAGGAACGCCAAGTTCCGCCCAAAGTTGGATAATCTGGTTGGACAATGCCTGTGCCGAAGCAATACGGCGCATATATTCGTCATAGACCCGGGTGAACTCAGCATCCAGCTTCTCGACGTACGTGTTGGATATGTCAAAAGTGGTCGGGAGGGATTGGTTTGGTCCCGTGGGTGGAAGCGCGATCTGGACAAAAGTTGGCTCGAGATGTGATGAGTACGACTCGAGGGCTTCGACGAGCGCTGTACCGAACATTAGCATGACAAGAAGCGTTGCTGGAACGGGACAAAAATCCTACTTTTCACCTGCTCGAAGCGTTCCTTGTGCAGACGACTTATCTGAATGTGCTTCTCCCGTAGGCCCTGCACGCAGCGGTTCAGAGGGTAAGTGATTTTGAACTCTTCGTCCTCCTGGTACTCTCCTCTCCGGGGCTTAGAATCGTCCAGCGACGCTTCCATTTGTCGGATGGTTGTGATAATCTTCTTGGCCTCATCAATCATGTCCTTTTTCTCCGTCGTGACCAGGCGCACTTGGCTATTGAGTGCTTCTGACAGAGCCGTGAAAAGCTGCGAATTGGTCAGCCATGTTTTTTTTTTTTTTTGCAAGGGATTGAATTGGAGATGCAAAGACCGAGGAGAACTACCTCTGACTCCCGAGCCTCGCGCTCATGATTGGGGACTCCAATCTCGTCAAACAGGCCATGCAACTGCGCAATGCTGCCATTGACCTGCTGGGCCAGGTAACTGGTGTCCATGATTCTCGTCGCGTCACGACAAAACGGCGGTATACCTGGGCAAAGGTGACCCTGTGCAGCGTGTAGATGGCGAAGGTGGGATGCAGATATTGATTGTTTTTTTGACTGGTATGCGCGCGCTGGATTTCCCGCAAAGTGGCGCTATCGTCTGTTCCCAGTCTGCGTCTGTGGGTTGCCTGCAGTTCTATCTGCGGTCTGTGTTTACCTGGTGATGTGGTGTGTAGTTGCCGCAGTCAGTTCGTTTTGGCGTCGGCGTAAAATCATCACATACCGCCTATCACGAGGGTTGGTGATGCATCCGAATTGGCGGTTGAATTGTGAACTGTAATAAAGCTATCGCTTGCGAACAACAGAGCGTGAGAAACAAGAGATGTGAGAAAAGCCCTGTTGAATGGTTTCGATTGGCCATGAGGCCATGTTCCACTGTTGTTTGGCCGTGGGCCATCGAGCTATTGTTCTGTTGCCATGACAACAACGCACCTTGCCCCACTCCCCAGACTCGACAACCTCGGGGCGCAAGTCGATGGGCCTAAATTAACCAATTGTCGGATCAAAGATGGGCGCGCAGCCAGGGAAGACAATGCGAAGACGACCAAACGATCAGCCTTTATTAGTCTGGTTGACTAGTTGTTTCAGATTTCGATGCCCCTCTTTCCACCGATTTGGTTTGCGGGGTGCCCATTGGCCGCAATTGCGCCTGCGTCGCTTGAGTCCGTACAATTTGCTCGACCTCGTGCAGCCATGCTTGCCGCCTGCTCAAGTAATACCTTTTTTCGAGACGGTTTATCATGCTGTGGCAGAACACGTGCTTCCGAGGACTATTCAAAGGAAAGCGTTATACCCCTCCGTATACGCCTTATATGTTTGTTTTGTCTGCGTCGTCATGGTGGGCGTGTGGCTTAAGCTGACACGAATTCCACAAGTCTCCCGACCGTGCTCTCTTGTTTTGATAGCATGATACTATTACTCATGAGGGATGCCTTCAGCGTGAGATGTATTCCCATGTTAAAGGAGCTCAGTAATCGCCCTATCCATTCCGAAAACTGAAGGAAATTGTTTGAGTTGGGCGGCTCGAAATAGCCATCTGCAAATGACAAATGGCGAGTTCCATTTCCGAGCAAGATGACTAAATATCCTGCTGTATAATCTCGTACTTCTCTTATCCAGAGAACGTCTTGGCGGTTTCTCCTATCTTGGATGCAGGCTCTCTGGTTTCGGGCAACATCACAGGATCAGCTTTGCCCGCTACATCAACCAGCTACCCTACAAAAACGAGGTTGAACGGCCTTTGACTAGAAGCGGTGCATGTCTGGCAGCGCAGTCCTTGAACATGCTCCAGCGCATGCCCTTCAAAGCGGAAGGGTAAGGACCAGTCGCTGACCTGTGAAGGCAGGTCATTCATCCAATTCGATTCGAGGTGCTTGTCGGTAGCTGCTGGAGTCTCATAACCTCAATGTCATTGCATCTTATCCTGAATGTAACCCATAGACAGGATTTGAAAGCGTCTGTGGGTTTCCGATATATCGAAATTCACACAAAATTTGGTCAGTTATTCATGTTACTTTGAGCACATACATAGAGAAGACTGGTCGCTGCCAGCATATAAATTGTCAGTGCTCTGCTAACTAACAACACGGAGAGGCCTTTTAGCTGGGCCAGTTTATATCCGGCTCATGAGCTTTCGTACAAATCTATCTACACCCCCATCCACAACTTAAATGGGACAAGCACAGTTGCCTTTACAGCAAGGGGCGCTCACAATGTTCACCGTGAGCTCGCCCTTACTAACATCATTCCCCGGCTGGGTGGGAATAGAACCACACTGTGAGCACTTATGGTCGACAAGTCCCTGCAGCTGACCAGCGGCATCATTCGCCGTGCCGCTCGCACCGTTTTGGTAGAAGGCACAGATAGACGAGTACTGGCCCTGAGCACAGGCAAGTTGGACTGCGTTTTCATTAGCAACTCTGTGTATATGATGTCTCGCAAAGGAACGTAGTAGTCCCATCATGATCATGGATAGGGGCTCTCAACTTCAGCCTCGAGGCGGCAACTTACCTCCCATGTTGTAATGATGATTACCGTTGCCTTGAGCCTGAATCTGTTTGACTTGTGTCAAGACATCACTCAGCTTGGCATCGTTGAATGTGCAACCACCCGAGCCGCGGCAGTTGATGCCGAGAGCCGCGGCACTGGCAACAAATGTGGCGACGATGCTGAGAGATACCATGATGACGACTGATACAAGAATAGTATTATATGTTAAAGGAGGGATAGTTGATGGACACAGCTCTTGGGAACAGGGACAGACTGTTATATAAGATGCTACAGAGCAGAAGCACCTTCTCTCGGATAACAGAGAAGAAGTAGGCCGCAGACTAAACTGCTCAACAGAGAAACCCAAAAAAATCCCTTACCGCGGTCGGATGACATGTCCACCTACTTCTGCACGAGTATCGCTGATTATTCCATCAACTTAGGTAACTGGTACAAAGTCCCAATTGTGTCAAAGTACCTCCTCATTAAGCCCAACCACGCGACAACATGGTTTCGAATCCTTGTACTAAAAGTCTCATGTGTTCTGTCCCCCTTCTCATTCGCCAGATCACATCGATACGGAAAGCTACACTGAACAAAGACACACTGATGTCACTGCTAAGAAGAGGTCCACATCATCAGCCCAGCTGGGTTCAGATGCCGAGCGGCAGATCGTCGTGAGTCGACACTGGACGCACATTCAAGGTAGCGAGTTCCATCTAACTTCTTGACGGACCGAAATTCCCCATAGTCAGCGCTTACGCTCTTTTGTCCAACTTTGTGGGGGGAATGGTGTTTCGGTTGGAGCATAAGTTGTCAATGCGACGTTGGACTAGCTCCTCTACATGCACAGGAAATCTTCGGCCAGTCCGGGCTTTCGAAAGAACCGAGACCAAGTTAGATTCATACACTATCATAGTCTCCTCGTCAGTTCAACGAGGCGGCAGGCACCAACAAGGTGCCATCTATCCGTGCCGTTGCCCGATAAAAGACGGCCTATCCGCCAGCCAAGCCCGCGTCTGACATAGAGCATGGGTAAAAGAGGACTGACGTGCTGGAAGACCCGTGTCGATCACTTTAGGCGCCTTAATTTTTCCGGCAATAGATCATGGCGAGGCATAACCTATGAGTGCCTTGGACGGCTGAGACTTCTCCCCCCGTGGCTGACTGCTTGTGGTCAGCATTTACTCCGTAGAGGCCTGGAAATACGTATCGCTGATGAATGTGAGACATGGCTACTATGCTTTTGGAACCAGAGGCGGTGAGAGAATGCTGTTTTCCCCCAGAAGAGAAGGACGACGTGGAAATCTTCGACGGGAGTTATCATAGATGGGCACATATGTGTGCGTGCTTGGGTCGTACCGGCCCGTCGCCGGGCTCACGTATCTCATTCATACGGCGAGAATTACTCCACCTATACCAATGCGGCAAGTCGTACCTTGGGAGCAGCAGTGGAGTTGAGATGTAGCTTTCCATAGCGTTGCCTTTGTTCGCTACGTTGTCATGTACGGTGACGATGTTGGTGACGTCTCTCGAAACAAACCATATGCGGGCTAATGCAGGTTCAACGCTGGCCGGTAGACAGTAGAGGCAACCAGGGTACAGAGTACCGCGATAATAATCGAGTTATCGACTTATGGGCAAGCGATTACCTTGAGGCTTGGAGCTGGCACGCCATAACCGGTGTTTATCTTGGGCAACTTGTACAGGACCAGGCTTGCCATCCCCGACCCGTACTCTTGTACTACGGAATTTGCCCTGAAGCCTGTTGTTCCTCGCTAGCAGAATCTCCCATTGATATTCATCGATGCTATTTAGTCCGCCGCCATCCCCCGTCCCCGTTGTACATCACCACCACCATCTCAACCCCCAAACATATAATCCTACACATAATGAAGTTGTCAATCATCACCTCTGTTGCTGCCCTCGCAGCTTCCACCTCGGCCCTGGGCATCAACTGCCGTGGCTCCGGCCTCTGCCCATCGGACGGCGCGGCCGGAAACCTCATCAACCTCAAGGCCATCGTGGACGGCATCCAGCCTCGTGATCGCAGATACAACACTGGCCAGCAGATTGCTTGCACCGGCTCCATCTGCGCCTTCTATCAAAATGGCGCCACCGGCACGGCTGCGCAGACGTCGGGCTTTCTCCAGGCCTTGCTTGACCACGGGTGCAAGAAGTGCGGCTCTGTGCCGACGCAGCCTGGGAATGATGTGAAGAATGGAGAGCTCACTGTTAATGTTGTTGGAGATCCTCACTGCCAGGGCGCCTGCTAGAAGTGTAGGACATGTCATGATGAATTTGAGTAGTGTTGGGACAATGTACGGGTTGCTTGTGCAGTTTGACGGGATGCGAACCGGGAAAAGGACTTTGTGCTATACAATGGAACAATTACTCTGAACAGTTTTCACGATGCGCGTGCTATCAAAGTGTCCATCACATGGGACATTATTCTGTGAAACAGAGTGTTGTGAAATGCCTAAACTGTAATTCTCGACGCCGCGCCATTCAAAACTGTACTTTTCTCACTTCATGTTCGAAAAGAGTAGGCCAGTCACGTCAATGATACGGCCGAGTGCTGCCTCATCGACACGTTTATTAGTGGAATATTGGGAACTATTTCCGCGAGGCAAGTAGTATCCCGACATGTTGAATGGAGCCGACGCACATATTGACCATATCCTCGAAATGACCAGAGACAATGGTCCACGGACAAGTGCTGACAGACATCAAGGTTGCCCCTGTCACGGAAAAAAACACTGCGTCTTCCGGTAAGCACATGCAGTATTGGCCTGCCCGAGTCCTTGACCTATGACCCCCTGAGAAAGGAAGCTATTCCGAGATTTCACGCCGGTCACTTCTATGCCTCGGCTGTCAATTGAGATGCCACCAAAGGCAAACCAGGGAAAAATAGCACCGAAACTTGATAGTATCTACAGATCTACAACGCTTCACCGATCGAATCCTCCGTAAGCACTAGTATAGCGCGGCCCATGCAGCTCTCCCAAGGGTCATCATCGCCCCAAGCTCGAGCGCCTCGTTGCCCGTTGTCTCTTTGCATGGGGTTGGTTCCTGGGTATTCCCTGCATTTCAACAATGACTGCCGGCCGCCACCGCACATCCAGCCGCGGCAGAGACGAGCCACTGTCACTCACTCGGCAATCACCACCATGAAATAGTACTTACATATGGAGTACTACTCGGCACCACAAACAAGTCTCACCGATGGTCCGATGTCGAAGGAAGGAACCCTGTATAAGTGCTACGCGGCCAAGCCGACGCCACATAGGCCCTTTTCTTTCCGGGGCCGCTGTACAATGTCGTTGAGGACAGCTCAACTTGGACAAGGAGCGTAGCTCAACGACTAGCTTGTAGTTGGTGGGAGAAGCCTTCCGATCTATGACGATGATCTACCGAAACTATTGGTGGGAAATAAGAACAACCCAATGTGGAGCTGGGAGTCAACTTGTCTTGTCTCTGAATCGGGGACATGGCTGTGGAGGAACCCGAATAATGGACACAGATACTTACCTGATTGAGTCCATTTCTCTATTAGGAAACTCGTAAGCGGTTTGTTAATCGGAAGTTGCCCACGCATCCTGACCATAGAGATAGTCGCGTCAGCTGTGACGGTCGCAGAAACGGCAAACCGCGTGGATGTTGGTGTACCATGTAGACATCGCGGCCCCAAGTACTGGTACATGACTTCGTCCTGTTATCGAGTATCCTTTCCATGCCGACGCTTGCTGGGCTCAAGTTGTCGTAGTTGCCGTCCCGCCTCCTAGCTGATTCCTCAACATAGTTGGCACGAGAAACACTGTTAGTTATACAGACTATTAAACGACTCACAGAAGAATAAACATAAAAGCCTGCCCATTGCCGCCTTGTAATTCCTGCAAAAACGTCCCCAACACTTGCAAATTTCCAACTCATCCTCATCCTTAATACACCCCAGAAACTCATCAATATGCACTTCTCTTCCATCCTTTTCTTCGTCTCCAGCGCCGCGGCTCTCGGCATCAACTGCCGCGGCTCCGGAGTCTGCTCCTTCAACGACGCCTCCTTGCAAGTCGTTCACGACCAGATCGGCAACTTGATTGCCGGCGGCGGCGGCGACCGCCATTTCAACCAAGGACGCAAGTCTCCCCATGACGAGTGCAAAACCCTCGCAGATTTGACTAACACCAGACGATAGAACAAATCGCCTGCTCCCACGGCTCCCAGGGCAGCGTTTGCGCCTTCTACCAGAACGGCGCTTCTGGCTCTGCCAAGGACGCGTATAACCAGGTCCAGGGCCTGATAGACCACAAGTGCCGACAGTGCGGCTCTATTCCTACCCAGCCCGGAAACGATGTTAGCAAGGGGGAGCTTACTGTCAACTATGTCGGCAAGCCGTGCTGCGAGGGGGACTGCCACTGCTGAGGGAGGCGTGGGGTTTGTGTAAATGCCACGAGTTGAATAGTGTAAATAAAAGGGTTGGAATGGCTTGAATGATGCACGCTATGATTTTCTCCATGTACCTTGTTGGATTCAGAAGCCGTGCTTAGACGGCGGCTTGATGTGACGAAAACATGTAGTGGAGATGTAGTCCGATGTTCTCTGGGGATTCTCGTATCGTGTCTGAAAAAGGAAAGAAGAGTCATCAATTTCGAAATAATTTGGCTCAGGATGATTATATATCGTCTTGATAACAAGATGGTCAGCCTAGCACCATGGTCTGCGCTGGATTCGGGACACGTACAATAAATACAACACCTAAGACCGCGGGCCGCCTCGTAGAAAAGAGATACCTCAGATATGTCTTCCGCATCCCCTCAGCTCCGTATCGTCACCCAGTGCCGCAGCGTAATGGAGTACGACGGACATGAAGGCCGTGAGTAGTGCAATCCGCGCCACGGTGAATGAAATGACTCGTCATCCACTGCTAGTTGTACTCAATTATATGTAGAGCTGTGAGACCAAGGGCGTCTTTCTCATCCAAACCCAAGGGAATGCTCTGCAGAGTCTCCTTCTTCTCGCCCGACGATGCGAACGTGGCGTGTAAGCCATTGTGCTGGGATAAATTATTCTCGCTAAATGGGACCGCAAACAAAGAGCAATTTAAATACAAATGGTTCTGGGGATTCATTAAATAGCAATAACAATGTAACAAGTACACTTCCAACATGCTCATTTAACCAAAAAATCACCATCAGAAGCAGCTAATATCACCCTGTGAACATCAGCTCCAAAAGGTCAATACAATCTGTATACTTATAAAGCAGGGCCTAGCCCATGGCTCCCGACCTGTGCGCCCTCCCATGCCAAAACCTCTGGCGATCAATCTGATGGCCTTGTAAGTTTGTTCAAGATCGGGCTCACCGGTTGGAACCGCTCTCTGACTCTGCAGACTTCCTCCAACAATTGCTTGAACTGCAAACCCCCGTCCTTTTTGACCTCAAAGGCCAGCAGCTTGTCTCGGACGTCGATCGCCCTCGACCTGCCCAGCTCAGTTACCCTGCCAAGCGCAACTTGCATTGCCTCTTCCCATTTGCTGATGTGTTCGGCCTGCTTGAGTAGATATTCTTCCTCCAACTTCAGCACTTGATCTGCAAACTCGATATCCATGTAGATGGCCAGTCTGTTGCGGCAGGTGACGTCGGGAGGCTCAATTTCTGCACGGCGCGCATCGCCGGTTTTTGTTTCGCCCTGTCCAACCTTGCACGTCCGCGGCAGGTCCAGCTGGGTGACTTCTGCCATGTTGAGTACTTGGTCTGAAAAGTGTTTGGCGGTTTTATTGGTAGGCTTGCGGGCTGCATCCTGCGCGTCAACATGGCCTGGGTTGGGAGCTGGATCTCTTTCATCAGGGTCGATAATCTGGGTCTTGGCCTGCACGCCTTTGGTGCGTAGCCCTCTGAAAAACTCCTCCAGTTGCTCTCGGTCGACACCATAGGGGCTCTTGACTAGGTTCTTTGGTGAGGGGAGATCATGGTCAGACTCGGATTCATTGTTGAGTTTGGGTGGTAGAGTGGCGTCGCTTGTCGAAGACCGGCGCGAATTAATATCGCTAGTCATCTTTGTATGTAGGTTACTGAGTACAGTTTTTTCCTACTTCACAGCTCTGGAACACCTGTAACTTCAAATTTCAAGAAGTGATGATAATATATGAAATATGAGTCGGAAGCCCGGAGCCTGACTTCTCGTTGTCGACATGCAGATATGCCCAACATGACGGTCTCACGACGGTCTCTCAACGGCAATGAAGTGGGTCATGCAAGACCTTCCTCCTTCTCAATCATGAGAAACTTGCATATGCTTGGCAGCCGAGCTTGAAGTCACCCAGCCTGTCCAAAGTATCGGGGAGCATGTAGAAAGCGCCATGTATCGTGCATCCGTCAGCCACGGATTCTCCACTGTCGCTAGAAAGAGTGTCTCAGTCAGCTTTTTAAAGCTGTTTTATGTACGGAGTAGTAGAAAATATCTACGTGAGGTGTTGTGAGCTTCCACCCGATATCGAGAACAAGGTCTGTTTAGTGGAAATCGTCCCACGACGCGGCTTCGTGATCCAAAGACACCGGTGTTGAACAATTGAAAGGTAAGTACCCGAATATTCTTCCGTACCAAGGGTACCTAGGACGATCAGCTGATGGACTTGCATGCTGTGCCGACCTGAATACGATGCGGCAAGCCACAGCTTGTTTTATAGGTCAGGAAAGGGCAATATCAGCACCAAGACCACTGATCTCCGATTTGAAATAAAGTAGTGGATATTAAATAGCCGAGGACTGCCTAAATATATCGTACAGTGGGTATCATAATTTGCTAATGGTTCAGTATAAAGTCGTATAATTCTCTCAGAGACTCATGACCAACGTTCTTCAAAAACGCCGGTTGTTCGGTATCAGAAATGGCCACTTCAACCACTTTCCTGATAAGAGCACTAATATCGTTGCTGTGCCTGGCCATGCCGCTACGTTGCAGAGAGGCGGAGTCCAGTTTGGAGGTGACGGCATCCCAAAGGTCGTGCCATCGATCTATGGCACGGAGCAGAGCGGGGGCTGTTGCAGGCATGGTGCCATTCAAATGAGCCGAGACAGCCATGGAACTCAATGCTATGCATGTTTAATGTCCGCTTTGTTGTCGCAGGGATGATTGGAAGTCTTACCCATGGTAGCTGCTCGGAGGTGGGATAGTTTGAGGCTGGTGACTGGAATAGGTTGGGCCTCATCCCAATTGTCCTTCATTAATAGTTCGATAAATTTACATATTGAGGAGAAGCACATTGGTGAAGGCTGGTACTTTAACTCCTTTAATTTCGCTTCGAATTGCTCGGAGTTGGTGGCATCCCACAGTTCTAATGGACACGGCATGTCGCAATCGACTTCTTTGATGGACGTCTGCGGCGGTGCATGAAACATACCACTTTGATGCCAATCAGATATTGCGGTCCAAAAACCAATTCTATTCGAGTCCGTTAGTGCCTTCTTGTTGATACAGAGGGTAAATGTACCATACCGGATGCACAACTCTTCATACAGGAATTTCTCCCAAATCAACGTCCCAGAATGCTTGTACTGATTTAACCCCAACTGCCGCACCGCCGACACCAAAGCAGGAAGCCTGACTGACAAATTTCTTCGTCGCGTTTGTGCATCGTTTCTCATAAATTGAACATTGTGGACGATTATCGCAGCCTGTAGTGCATACAGCATTTTCTTGCTCGGTTTTGAGAAAGCCTCAGTGACCAAAAGCCCTTGCATATGCCGAAAGACGTAGTCCTCTGCAACAGTTAAGAAGCATCGTGACGATAATGTATCGTCCCGTGGTGCGGAGCGGAGTGTACCACCTAGCGCGACTGCTAAAACCAAGACTGCCGGTGTATCTTCATGACCAAATGATGGAATATGTATGAGAGGAAAATGTATGTGACTTAGGCGAAAGAAAACAGATATAAATCGAGCAAGATTATCTGACGAAAAGATAGAGTGCGCTAGATCTTCGTGGTACATTTCGGTATATGTTGGATCGTATTCCTCGAGAAATTTGTGACTTTTGCCTAACTCGCGAATAATCTCATCTGAGACATGCCGTAATCTCTCTAGACCTTCCAGGGTAAACGCTGGCACCGCTGCGCTTAGTTCAGAGGACGTCGAGGTTTCGTCGGAAGTACTGAAATCGCTGAATTCATCATCCAGAAAAGACACGAAACTCCAAGGAGCAAAGTTTCCGCCATCCATGGTCATCATGGGCAGAGAAAAGTCAGGCAAATTGGGCAGATAGTCAAGGTCTGGTACCTTGTCATTGACAGCTTCGTCATTAGCAAAGTATTCCAGCATCGACTCAGTATCAGGGTTGACAACACCCTTCAAAAACACAGAGTTGGAGACTGGAACCCTGGTATGAGCTTGGCCTGCGGACTCAGACTTGAAGTAAGCTGCATCTTGTTCAGAGCAACCCGAGTCGAAGACGTCTCGAAAACGACAAGTCAATCCGCGAGAAACACAGCGCGAGCAAGGTGTCGCCTTGTCGCACAAAACTTTACTTTGGTAACACGATTCGCAAGCACGCGGTTTTTGGCCACGGCGGAATTCGGGTAAACTCTTTTCTTCATCTTTTCTGGCGCAGCTCAAGGTGTGTTTGCGGCACACGTCGCTGTGAAGATGTTAGTGGATGCCGCATGAATAGATTCGAAAGGGAAGATGAGAGGCATCGCCTACCCTCTAATAAAGCCTTTGCTGCAATATTGACATTTGAAACGAAAAGTGTTTACGTCTGTGGAAGGGTTTAGCTCATGTGCCAACAGTGCGATTGCGGCTGTGACAGGTAATTGGCTGAGCATTGTTGGTATTGTGCTGTTGATGTTGAGCTCAGCATGGAGTGATGGAATGGGAAAGGATGGCTATCGCCAATAGAATCCTGGGAGGGGGGGAGAGATTTAAAAGGAAGGAAAGCTGCTCCCTACAGAACGGAAATTGGGACTGGGAAGAAACCAAGTAAAATATTTGACATCAACAACAAGTACTCACGGGTTGCTTCATGTCGTCGAAGATGAGTGTTCCTCTGATATCTCTTCCCGCAAGTCTCGCAAACATACGCCTTCAGGGTTGGAGCCCCAGCCGCTTGATCATTGACCAGCTCCATACCCGGCAACAGACCAGACACACCTGACGTTTGTCGTGGAGATAATCGAATGGCTGACGTATGGGCTCCTGTTGCAGTACACGGGGCTTGGCTCTGATGGATTTGGATGGCAGGTGGGTTTTCGCCGATGAGCACTTGGCGATGTTTGCGTGTGGGCGAGGTGGGTTTTCACCTGGAGGACGAGGCTCACATGGCGCTATGCCCTAAATGGACGACAAATGACCATGTCAAAGGTAAGCTTGAAACCTGAGGATATAGAGCGAGGGCGCCATGCAGATCAAATACTCGTTATTTTCCAGAAGTCGAATCTTTGCAGATATCTATAGAAAAGATTCCCTAATTACGGGTGAATAACGCCTAGGAGATTGGGAGTGACTGTGTGGACATCTGAGCCGCACAGCTTGTGTAAGTCAAGCGTTACTGAACACCGGGGCGGCTTCTAACATGGCATGGAATTAGATTTACTCTTGAAAATCTCCAGGAGATTAGTGACATTTTCCCCATCGACCAACAAGACGAGAGAGAGGACGAAACAGAACAGGATGAAGCTCTCGGTTCCCACGATGCCTCTCGCCGCAAGACTGCCAGGTATGCTTGCCCAACTATATCGGCATGGAACTAAGGCAGAGCTGACCGAGGCTGAGTGTTAATGTATGTTAATGCTGGACGATTGGCCGTACCTAAAGGCTTAGCAAGGCCAATTGCTTCGCTAATGTCTACTCGGGGATTACACAACCCTCGAGTTCTCAAGAGCGCTGCGCCAAAACTTGATCTTCAGCAAGACCTAAAACCATCATCGTTGGTAGAAAAGGAAGAATCGTCAACTGCCGTCGAACATGTCTTGTAAGGCTCCCGGAAGCAACCGAACTTGACTGCAAATGGCACGTCATTTACATCAGGCACCGAACCTCTGCTCACACCTACCAGAACAACATTAGACTCCCTGGTAAATTGGGCTCGCCAGGGCTCTCTATGGCCTCTTACATTCGGTCTTGCCTGCTGTGGTGTCGAAATGATGCACGTATCGATGCCTCGCTACGACCAAGACCGACTTGGCATCATCTTCCGCGCCTCTCCTCGCCAAGCCGATGTAATGATTGTGGCGGGCACTGTTACGAACAAGATGGCGCCGGCGGTAAGGCAGTGCTATGATCAAATGCCTGATCCTAAATGGGTTATCAGTATGGGCAGCTGCGCGAACGGAGGAGGATACTATCACTACAGCTACTCTGTTGTACGAGGCGTGGACCGCATCATCCCCGTTGATGTGTATGTGCCTGGCTGTCCACCGACGGCAGAGGCGTTGATGTACGCCATATTTCAGCTGCAAGCAAAAATGCGCCGCACCAAGATTACGAGAATGTGGTATCGGCGATAGAGGGCGCGATTCGGCACCTGGACGTAGATTGCGCGGCGCTGTGAGACCGGTGATGGCGGGAGAGGTCTGTTGATGTAGTAGCGCCTAGTAGTGTCAGACTTTCAATGCTGTACAGAATGTTATTTGACTTCCAAGGTTGTCAAGGCCTAGCGAGACCAGGCAGACCGTCGGATATGATATCACATCGACTGATAGACCAAGAGGGTGCAGCAGGCATGTTGAGTTCCTCCAAGCTTCTAGAAGGAAATGCGGCCACATGCAGAGGAGCCTCTAGCGTGTAACAGGCATGAGCTTGAGCTTGCGCTCGGCATGGCGAATGCATGATGGCCGCTTGCAGGACCCTAGGTGAGGAATGCGCGTCTGTGATTACCACGTTAGACGACCAGTGTCTTTAACGTTGGTGGTCGGCCCAGCATCATCAGCACCTGCCCAAAATTGAAACGGGCCTTGGGTACCTCGATTTGTCCGATGCCGCAGAGCGAAACACGGAGAAACCCGAGGGCCGTCCTTGCGGGCTTTTGGGCCTTGACCTTCAATGTTAGTGCCGAGGGCCCAGTTTTTCTGTACATGCACGCACCGTCATCAAGCACCGTCAGCGTCAGGTCCTGCGTGGCGTCAGATCCACTGTCATGTCGTCGTCCACTGTCATGTCCAGCCCCCTCCGCTCTTCCTCCATGCATGTGTCATGTCCGCGCTTCGACGACTTTCTCCCCGCCAGGCGGCTCCGCAAAGCGCTGACATCGAAAGGATGCAGCTTTGGCTTGGACATCCCGAGCAACCATTTTGCCGCTGTTCTTGCCCCCTTTGCCTGCCTCACAACCGCCAATTCCAGATACCACAGCTTCGCTTTGCTTCATGTCATGGTACTCGACAGCCAATCTCTTGAGGGCCCCCCGTCACTGCAGCACATGACGCAAAACGGCTACATCGTCGCTCCCGCCGCAGCCTCGGCAGTGCCCCGCGCACTCCCCGAGATTTGCTACACGTTGCGGCGGAAAGTGATGGCGTTCCTGGAACAGCAGCCCGCCGATAACGATGTCGCACTGAAGAACACGCAGAAGCAGGCGAGGGCTTCAATCAAGATTGTCGAAGAGGCCTTGCGCCGGTATCAGTGAGTAGGCGCATTTGGACACTCCAGCGCTCTCGCGACTTTGCAGCCATCCCCCTCTCCAAGTTACCGAGGAAGCTAACCACGCCATCACCGCCAGGCCCGACGAACTGTCTCTCTCATACAATGGAGGCAAAGACTGTCTCGTCTTGCTCGTCCTCATCTTGGCCTGCCTGCCGGCCCTGTACGATCCCTCAATCACAACCAACGGCGACGCCCCCGTTTCCAAGAACCCGCCGCCGACCATCCAAGCTGTCTACATTGCGCCGCCCGATCCCTTCCCCGAAGTCGAGGAATTTGTTTCAAGTACCACAAAGGAATACCATCTGGATTTGACTCGCTATGCGCTGCCAATGCGGCAAGCCTTGGAGGCGTACCAAGCCGACAAGCCCGCCGTCAAGGCGATTTTCATGGGCACACGGCGCACCGATCCATTCTGCGAGTTTCTCACTGGATTCAGCCCCACGGATAAGGGCTGGCCGCAGTTTATGAGAGTGAACCCTGTTTTGGACTGGCACTACACAGATATTTGGACCGTGAGTGATCCCCCGTGACGACAACAATCTCCAAAAAGACACAAGCCTGACCTGTCGCCATTAGTTTATCCTCCGCCTTGATATTCCCTTCTGCAGCCTCTATCAACAGGGCTACTCATCCCTTGGCGGCGTCAAAAACACCCGCCCTAACCCCGCTCTTGCCGTTGGCTCCGAAGGGACCAAGTTTCGACCAGCGTATGAACTTGTCCGCGATGACGAAGAGCGGCTAGGCCGCGACAAGTAGACTATCTACCGGAGACCAAATAATGATATCATGATGGCAAAATGTGGAGAATCCAGTAGAAGCGGACAAGACAGACCGCAAACTGAATTGCGGCCGAGGAGTTCTGAGTCCTTTATGTGCTGTTTTTGCGCAGACTATTTGGATCGTTGTTGGCAAGACTTGCTTACTAAACTTTCAGTGTATATAACATAGAGCATAGAACATCACGGCGTTGAATACGATCCTGTTCTAGATCTTTCTGTTCACCTCTCAGAACAACCTCATTGTCTTCACATCCTGTTATGGTAGCTGTGCCCCCTGGCCCCAGACTTCCAGCCATGGAGACAGAGTCTTGAATCACTTATAACCGATTTGGTCTTGAAAAATCTTGTTGCATATCGTATGGCAGTCCCGAAAAGTGGTATGTACGTTTCAAGGATACTACTAACAATTTTGTTATGCTCTAGTGTTGCAGCTTCTCGGAATGCGGCCGGTGTTTATACGCCTCCGTCTTCAGGAATCCCTGGATTGAGCTACCCGTCAGTGCATGTAACCACTTAATTGCCAACCGGTAATTATAAAACCCACAGTATGGACTGCCGCAAGAGGCAAACCGTAATACGGCCCGATAAATTATTTGCAATGCATTTGGCTGGCATTGGACAATCTGGCACATACAACAGTCAATATACGTCACATGGAAGCTGGAGCAGCCCGTTGTGATGACACCGTCAAGTTTCAACAGCCAGCAGGAGGGCCAGATAGGATCAGCGGTCTGGTTGGCTCAGTACCAAGATTCTGGCTGAGAGCCGTCGATTCGACAATCATTTCTCCATCAGCCGCCTATTCATCTGTGATCGTGACCACCAATAAAATACAGCGAACGACATCGTCGATAACGAGTTCTTCGTTACTATTCATAAAAAAAACTTCAAAAACAGCTTCGGCCTCTGTTTCTTGGATGAACTCTCGGCAATTTTGATTCAGCTTCTCAAGGCCTCAGGGGAGGTCTTCGTCTGTCGAAACTGCATTCGTACCACCTTCCACCTGGACTTGATATCAAACAAAGAGGCTTCCTGGCCGGGCAGCACAAGGTCGTCGCTTGGTGACTGGGGCTTGATGTCGGAGCGTCGGCAATCATATAGTGAGAAGCAGCCCGGGTCCTAGCCAGACACCGTTCGCAACGAGACTGAAGAGGCCTCGGCTATCATAAACAGCTGGCAGACGCAGATGAATTCTGTGTTTAAGCTTCTCCGGTCCTTTCTCTTCCCCGTCTTCCGCTCTTCAACTCTCCAGTTGAAACCGGCTTTTGTTGTAAACCTGACCACAGCATCTTCCCAGAGTTGCTGCGGAGGATACATCTGCGGGGAATATCTTTAACAGATGGGGCAAGATGGCTCATGATGTTTTGCCTGGATGTATTTTCCTTGCGTACGTATGACACGGCCGGGCATTTGTACAGTGCTAAATAGACCGCGTCACATGAGGGCGCAGCTCCCCATTCACCCAGTGCTACCAAGCAATTCCTCCGTGGAGCACAAATGAAATATTCAAACAAGCTGTACATCCTTCCTCGGTATACTGTGCCCCTCGGGAGACATGTCCATTCAAATAAAGAGACACCTGGGCCGCGTTAATGCTGCGCGTACATGCAAACGCGGCCTCCATGAAGAGCAAAGCAGGGTCGAGGCGAGCCCAGTCTCGATTTGATGGCCCCGAAATCGTTCCCCAGCACCTCAAAGTGCCTACCTGGCTTTCTGATGAGCTGCCATCAACGATGCTACTGGGACCGGGCCTATATCGGAACTAAAGGGCCCTTTGGATGGCATCGAGGAAGTATGGATAAGTACAATTCTGGACCTCAGGCGAGCATGATGAGTTTATCAGTTTAGAGGCACGAGAGTCTGGACAGTCTCTTCTCTCCCGCTTATTTATTCCTTTAAATGTGCGCAGGTCTAATTTTTGTAACGGACCAGGGTTCTAGCTAATAATAATTACTTATTTAAAAGATATATATACTTAAAAATTATAATTTTTAAAGATACTTAAGTATATAAAAATATATTAGTTATTATTATTAATAAAAAAATATTTTTAAGTATCCTTAAGTATTATAAAAAAAGTAGGTTAAATACATCAATTAGACCTGCGCACATTCAAAGGGATACGGATGGCCTTGAGGTGGAACTCACCTATGATATATGCTGTTGTCAAGTTCTCACCATATTCATGCCCAAAGACCACCAACAAGACAGTCCTGTCTTGAAGAATGGGGTTCCGGGTACTTTCTAAAATGCCTCACCGGGCTCGTCGCTGTCAACACTAGAACTAGCTTAGAGTGACTTGTTTTGAATAGAGTTAAAGGCAAGGTGACAGTCTTCTTACTATTACTTACGTAAAGAGAGGTCCTCGCACATATCGCTGTGTAATCCATTCAATACTTGCTTGACGTCGAAGTACATGAAGACCTCTGATCCGAAAGACAGGCAGTTAATCTTCTCTAGGCTCGGTATTCCTCATCCATAGTCCCTGTGACGGGTATTACTACACAACACTTTACGCCTCCAATAACGACAGCATCAAAGGAGATAATATTTACACTGCTATCAGAGGGGAACCCCCTAAGGCCGTCAAAGGACAGAGTGTTGGGGGCACTTTTCACTACGATGATGGATATTCATATTTTCCACCATTGCATCACATTATTGGCATGGACGATAAAACATAAAATTCATCAGGGCTCCTTATCTATGTACATCTTCCGCAATTCGGCTTCTCGTAGCCTTACTTGGGATCAACCTCCTTGTCCCCAGGCTTCTCAGTTTGTTCCTGACCAGGTAGTGTCAAGACAGGCACGTCGCGGTCAAGAGCATACATGGCCTCTTCCTGGGCATCGTAATGGTGGAACAACAGGTAGAATAAGCAGCCAGTCACGGCGGCCGCGACAGCAATACCGGTGTACATCCAAAGGAACTTGGGGTCCTTGGCGACAGGTACAAACCCCTCGGAGATGGCGGAACCAAAAGCATTGGTGAAGAGATAGAGGGACTGGACGAAAGACTTCATGCTTGGGGGAGCCTTGGTGTAAGCATACTCGAGGCCAGTCACGGAGATGAAGATTTCAGAGACACCAATGAACACATATGCTGGCGTCTGAATAGCGACGTGGACGTGATTTGGCAGCTTTATGTTTTCAGCGCTCAAACCAGCAGGGCAATTGCGGGGATGATCATAGCAGGGTCCGGCGCTGTAGATCAGCTTTTGCACAATGGCAGCGTAGGCCATGCAAAGTGCAGCCAGCCAGAAGCCGATAGTAATTCGAGTAATGGGACGTAACTCAATGCCGCGCCTGCGCAAAACGGGGTAAACAATCTTCTCCAAGATTGGAGTAAAGATCAAAATGGACAGAGGGTCGAAGTTCTGCATGAAGTCATTGGGCATGCCGTGTACCTCCATCTGACTAGCCTGAGTAACGAAGTTGCTGGAGAACTGTCCATAGCAAACCCAGAAAATAGGGTAGAAGACGAAGACCTTACAAGCTCTGAGGGCACGCTTGAGCTCGTCAACGAAATGGTCATCCCATGCAACCTTGCCAGACTTGCCGTGCTCAGCGCGCCATGAAGGCTTGGCTCCGTCCAGGGAGCGAGTCGTGATCATCATACCAATAGCCTTGAAAGCATCGGTGATAATTTGGCCTTGGGGAGGGCGAATGACGTAGGACTTGCGTCGGAAAATAAGAATGGCAATGCCAACATTGAACATGCAGAAGCAAAGGAGGAACGCAGTCCAGAACCCCTCGTACTTCTCCATGAAAGGCGTGGCCATTAGCGAGAGGGCGCCAACATTTATGCACCAATAGAAGACCATGTAGATTCTCTGGTAGGTGATGGCAGGGTCAATAATCACGCGCTCTCCGTTGGCTTCTGTCTTGATAGCCATAGTTCGCCGCTGATACTGATCGGCAATCAGAGGGGCAATATTGGACTTGATACCACCGGTACCAAGACCAATGACTACTAATGCGGTGACAAAACCACCGAGGCCAGCGCCATTCTCGATTGCAACGGGGAGCGATGTCGTCCAGAGGATGAGGAGTCCAACCCAGTAGATGCAGCAGAAAATGAGGATGGTCTTGTACTTGCCGAGGTACTGATCGGAGATGATGGCGCCGAGAATAGGTGTCACGTAACAGAACCATTGAAAGAACAGGTTGAGACCGAATGCAGCCTGGTGACCCATGCCCAGGCCCTTTTGACCATCACTACCATCTTTGGCGTTGTTGACGTAGTTCTGAAATAAACCCTGAGCACCGTAGTAGGTGAATCGCTCGGTCAACTCAACAATGGCGATCATGAAAGCGGAAGCGGGAAGGTTTTCGCCGATGCGGCGCAACGTGTGCCTCTCATGCTCGTTGGGTTCTTCGCCATCAGGAGTAGGACCTGTCTCGGTGTCACCGACGGCGAGATCGCGCTTCTGATCCAAGGAGGGCTTTTCAATATAACCGCCAGTCAAGTCGGTGCCTTTGTTAGGAACGCGCTCGTTGAACTCTTCGTGGAGCCTAATTGGTTGCAGAAAATAATCTGGTTAGTATGCGAGTCTCTTTTCCATATTAAGATGCTGCAAGAGGGTTGATTTGGTGGTGATGCGATGGGCAACAGTGCAACCACACAAAAAAGAGGAGAAAAGAAAAACACTTACTCGGCGGCCATATCCTCGTGATTCTGTGCCATGGTAGGTGTTGCTTCTTTGATAGCACCCTGTTCTTACGCAGCGTCTCACGAGGTGGGAAGGGGAGAAAGCGAGACACAGAATCAAGAAGATTAGGAAGGAAGGAGAAAGAAAGATACGTATTTAAACGAAATCTTAACCAGACCCAGGCCCAGACCGAGGAAAGCGTTTGTCCGGGGGAGCTTTGGGGGAGGGGGCAAAACGCAAAACGTCAAGTCAAGTCAAGTAGGAAGGAAGGCCCGACCAACTGGGGCGTGTCGGAGTACAAATCGGCAAGCCAGACTCAAGACGATAGAGTCGGCACCAAACCCCATGGAGAAGCAAAAGGTCCCGGGGAAACTCGTTTTTGGTTGATAACCCAAATTCACTGAAGCTACACCGTACCGACCAGACGCTTTATCACGGGCCCTGCCTATCTGTGGAGCACGGTTCTTTCTGCTCCGTTTGTTGTTTCTTGCGCTCAGTGCAGAACAGGGCCGACTGGGTAGGACCGCCGTCTTCAGCAACACCAGCTCAGCTGTTCCGTCATCCGCCCTCATCTCGTCCTTCTGCACTAAGGGCCTCGTCTCGCCCACCCCGGTTGGCTTGAGCAGTGGGTCGGTAACCACGCGATGATGGAGGCGATGGAAATGGAAATGCTGATGGGGGTGTCGGGTGGCTGCAGGGCCAAGCCCAAGCGGGAAGGCGAACCGACGGCGATTGAAGACTGTAAGATCGGGGGATTGCAGGGAGCTGGCCACCTCACCTTTGCCCTGTCATGGCTTGCCCAATTGTATCTCGTGTCGCAATGCTTGGGGTGGAAGTGCTGCGCGACAGACGCGGCGATGAGACAAGCGAACGAAACAATTGACCGAATCGCCATCGCAATACGAATCAGAGAGCCAGGCGGAGAGAGCAGTCCGTCATCTGGAGGGAACAGCTTTTGCCAAGACCTTAGTGTCCTCGTCCAACAAAGCCCAAGCCGCTGGAATTTTTCGTGGCTGCGGAAAGGGTACCCATCCATGCCATGGCGTGTCAACACCAGCATTCATGCAGTTTCTACTCCTCGACTCCTCAGGGCTCTGTGCGCGACATCTGCCAAGTCCGTCACTCGATCGGGGGGGCAAGGTCCCCAGGCAGCCTTTGCCGGTTGCCGCCTGGGCGTTTTCTGGGCATTTCCAACGCCATTTACCCTCGGGCGCAGTGACAGAATGACAAAACACAGATGGCATCTCGGCAAACCGCAGTCCACGATACCTCAGCATTAAATAATGTTAATGGGAGACACCAGCACGGGCGCCGGGTATGCTCCAAAATTACAACCGCGGGTGACTTATTATCTCTTACTAACAGCCAATGCGTACAGAGACGTTGACAATCCCAGGACGCCTGATGGTCCCAAGTTTGCCTTCAACAGCAGCCAACTGACCTCCGCGCGACAACAGTACCAGGTGACCAAACAGGACATTTCTGGCAGCCAGACGTACAGCATCCACAGGATCTTTTGCTTTCTGTCTCGCACCCTGCGGCAGACGCCCAATTGCAACACATCCTGTGAGCAACGGTGAGGGTATGGTGATGCTTAGCTCCAGTCAAATCGCGGGGCATGGATGAAAATGTGCTGGCCAGGGGTGGGAAGCCACACCACTTTCCAGAAGCCATGAAAGCGGCTCAGTCGGTGGGCAAATTCTGCTGTGTGAAGTCGATGAAAATTCTAATTTTTGAATGTATTGCATCATGTAGTTGAACTTTGCACACGCAGTACTCGAGTCCGGGCGGCATGATGCTACAAGATTGGGCTGACTCGAATCCTGCCACTTGCCGGACGATACCTGTCAACGGTATTTCTGGTTGCTTCAGAACGTCGCTGTGCGCCACTCGGCCAAGTGCTAGAAGATTTAAAGGGTTGAGTTCATGACAATATATCCCTCAGCCGACGCTCTGGGCCTCTGGCAGGGTACTTGCAAGTCCCGACCAACATTGTGCTTCTCCGACTGGTGAGTTGCCCGACATCCACCTCAAGTTATTACTCGACACGGCGAAGAGATTGTACACGAGTCTCTTATCAAACATAACCATGCTTTATTTCACGGCGCCCGCTGCCCCGGGGCTTACCAGGACAAATCAGGGACACCACTAATAAGAGGATATTGACGCCACTCAGCAAACCCCACCGGTTTAGTGAACCATTGGAGCTACAGCTTGCGATGAGGGCTGCTTCAGATCGAAAGAGGCGTTGCGCCTCTGGCGAAGATTTTTCTTAGCGCCGCTTCGCGGTTATTTCCAGACGTTCAAACATTCCCGGCTGCCGAGACTGCCCACACCCAGACCGGCAGGCCGTTTGTGTCAGTGCCGTAGCTCGCGCTGGGATATACTGAAAGGTCGGGTATTGAGCGCCATCGCCACAGAGCACAACACTTAACAACACATATCGGTAAACCATGAGACTTTTAGTGGGCAAATCCACGAAGCCAGATAACGCAACAATGGACCTATGCTACCAGCAAGGAGCATAGAGCAGCGACAACGCCACGTATTTATTAGTTGCTCAAACGACAAGTCGATCCCACGCAAAAGGTCCCGCAGGGTCTCCTCGAGACTAGCGCCACAATTCGGAGGCAACTTGGGTCTTCTTGCGGCCTGAATGCTGCTGGAGGGTCAAGTGGCATCAAGGACGAATGGAAACGCTCCAAACATGGGCTTTGGTTCGCCGAAACATCACTGATGATGGTCGGATGGCACGGTAACTTTCATGGGGACCATCGAAAGGTGATGCCCAAGACGGACTAGCTTACCGACGGCGGGACCCGGTCTCCACCAACGGGAACCAGTAGTCAAAAGCTGGTCCTTGTTGACCGCCCGTATTAGTCCATTATTCCGCGCAATGTCGCTTCACATCGGCTTCATCATCCCACCTATCCAAAGAGCCCAAGTGGGCTTCAGGAATTCTCATTTCATTGCCCAGTCACGAGGCAGCCGCACATCACTTGATGCATATACGTACCTATCAACATGTTTTGTTCGCCTTGTTTGATTACGTTGCAGCTCCTCGAGTAATGAAAGTTCCGAATGCGGCAATGTGGCTCCAGTGTTAAACACCAGTTCGGATGTATGACACCAGCCAAGGCAACCCATCACTCAAAGCAATTGTGCATATCTTCTTCATCGGCCCAGGCGCTTTTGAAGGAGTGCGCCACCGTTCTGAGCCTGACGTGAAATGGTTGCAGGTAATGGGAGACGGACGGACATTCGACAGATCAACCATTCTCACCAAAGCTGACGAATACCTACGACCAAAGGGCATGCATAACCAAATTTTCATTTACGCCAAACATTTAACATCTTGAATGAACTATCGTCGTGATACGGAACTTGCAAGTCTTCAGCTTGATCGCAATAATATCCTCTGAACAGTAGCAAAGTCTCCTCCCCCGCAATATGTCCCAGAATCGGTTTCCAAAGTAAGTCATGTAGGTGATTCCTCCACGATATCCATCTTCCCCAGACAGTAATAAACTAAGTTACTGCCAGATTTCGTAGAAGTTACATGGCAAATGCTGGGGAAGCGGGTTTGCTCGGCTCTCGATGGCTTTACGTTTTCATCTAGTGCTAACTAGTTTCCAATGATGCATCGGGAACAGTGCGACCCCGTTGTCCCGCGCATACTATACCATGTCATGACATTTACACTTTACTCACGGAACGGTCCCATACCAACTTAAGCGATGTGGTTCATGGGGAGTCCCGTTGCCAAGGGAAAGTGGTGCCGTCTGAACGCCGGCCCTATTAAGAAACTTGGCGGTGGTCTGTCCTCATTTGTATCGCGATACATGCCGCTCAGCCAGAGACTATGCTGGTACAGCGTCACAGCGACAATGCTCTGCTTTGCTGCATTAGGCTTAACAGAGTGAAGATTGAGTCTGCGCGGGTCTGGGGTGACGAAACACCGGGACAATTCTTAGCGTAGTATTGATTGCTTTGGTATGTAGATTTCGGGCTAGGTTAACCTAAACATTGGATCTTCTTGTGTTTACTTACTTTGCCGTGGGGGAACTTGGCACGAACATGTCGCTACTCTGGGGAGATGGTCTGGCTACAACATAAATATCTAGGTAGCCAAAACACAGTCTTGAAGAATAGGAAGATATAGACTATTTGCAACTCTGTACAGCGCGTTGTTAAAATAAATGTTGCGTCTTGGTATTTATCTAGGATCACCTGTGAGGACGAAAATCCAGGATATTCTCAGTTGCTGGTGTTGGTGTTGCAATCGCCCTCTAAACTTGAACGGCCCGTAAATGCTGTCCTCATTTTTAATAGTTTTCCAATTTTGCAATTGTGAACCGTCTGTATCAAGTATTAGACGTTGCTGCCAGGTGAACAAGACGGATGGATGGAATATAGGGTAAGCTAGGCTCAGCTCCCGACTTGGCGCGGATTTTCTTCTCTCGCCCGGAGGAATTAATGGGAAAATTTTAATGTTTGTTCAGAAACGAGACAGTCTAGTTGAGCCATCTTGTATCTTACATTATCAAATATATAATCACGGTTCAATATATATTGTGGCTAACTGGTAGAAATGAAAGCATTTTTACTCAAAATGCTCAATCCGATGTACACTTGCATGATACATCACTGGGTTATGCCAAAAAAAAGGGAGAGAATAACAGAACAGATATGAATCATAAAATTGGAGTGGCTCGGTTATAAGGAGCGATATCGGGGACTGCCAGACAATTGATTACCAGGTTGCAAAGTGGGATGCAACAGCTAGTGCGTGCCAATGGATTGATCGAGATTGTTCTCGAGCCGCAACTATATTAAAACTGTATTCACCAGAGGCATAACGCTTGATTCGCATGTGAGATCTCTACTCTGTGGACCGAACGTCTTTGCCTTGGTATGCATTCGACTCTCTTTGCGCCGTTTGGTGGATTTCAACGCCAGCCGTCTTGCGCTGAATCACGGTCACAGGCTCATCAGTCGACGTAGCCTTCACGTAAACATGGGAATTATCGTGGTTATTGCCGAAATGGTTCGATTTTATAGACGTATTGATCCTTTAAACTGCAGTAAATAGACGAATCATCCAATGCTCATAATATCCCCTGTCGCCATCTGACTACATTATATTGCACCTCCACCTCAAGCGACTGAGCTGTTTCCCTTGCAACGAAACTCAACGTAGTCAATGCAAATTCCAAGTATACCTTGTACTCCACGTCCTCTACCCTTGTGTCTAGATTGCGTAGAGGAATCCGTATTCAGGATGTACTCTCCAATACGTGGTGGATGGCTGCAGATTGGTCTTCAGCCCGATGACTGGCATCTCCTCGTGGCCGTCAAGTATTGTGCTCAAACATATGCACTGTATACTATACTCGGAGAATCCAGGGAAAACGTGGCAATATGCTAATGACATATACATTTCCCCTTCTGTCGTGCTACAGCAACCCACGCCACGTTTTTTACAAACCTGGGTTGTGTCGTGTGCACTGTCTTGGAGAACTGCCCTGGAAATGAGATTGGAAGCTCTAAAGTTGGGGGCGGATTATGTATTGGTTTATTGGTTTATTGGTCTACTAGTATGCTGCGTCATCCTTGGCCGTGCTTGCACCCTTGATCTTTGCCAATCAGACTGCACAGATTAGCACTCGCGTTGTAAGCTGTCGTTGCTGCCAACAAGAGGGATTTCTCAATGTCTTTCGATTTCACCGCTTCTTCTTCTCTACGGTAGTACCATCATGTGGTGTGACCGAACTGCAAACACCCGGGTAGATTCTAGAAACAAAGTTTCTGCGTCTCTATCGTCTGTTACGAAGATGGCAGTCTTCACAAGCGTTGCCTTAACTATATCTCTAGGAGCTAGGAGCACGTCCTGTAATGTGACTGCTTCCAGATATCGTCAGCTACTAGCCAATCCTGCCACTGCGCCGGTACATCATAGCCAAGAGGCCCAATAAGACTAGGTTAGCAGTCGGGCGGCCAATGGCTTAGCTCTTTTACAAGATATGGAAAGTATGCAAGGTCCGTGCTGCTTCATTAGGGCCTGCATGGCTTATTGAGGCTCATGCTGTCACGAATTTTGCCCGAGTGTAACTCGATCACACACAGTGAGGCCGTCATGGCAACTCGGCAGGCATACATGCGCTCATCTGAGATCTGAGCAATATCATAGGCGGAGGGACTCATTCCCGAGAGGGTCTAACAACGCCATGACATACTGGTCTTTCTGACGTCCTGCTGTCAGCAGATAGCTCCAACTGTGAGATGAACAGTCAGCAGAATGGGGAAAGGAATCGGAACATTTCCACGACACCCCCACGAGAAGGGGGTGCCTTTTCTGTAGAGGCGTTTCTACCCAAGTTGTTTCTTGACAACGGACATTGTCGAATAGCCCGCGCGTTGCAGTAATGGCCAGGAAAGTTTTTCGGACCTAAGCCTGACATTCTTTCAGGCTAAAGGATCAACTCAATGAGAGAATTGTAGGGATCCTGATGTACTGTCCGCCGCTCAACCTTCAGCCCGCCTTATTACAACCTGCGGCTGAAAAGCAGGAGTCTTCAGACCGAGTTTGGTGCGACGTCGCTTGTTGCAGTGACTGTACACAAAGAGAACACATGGCATATGCACTCCGTATGGTGGGTTGACGCTGATTACTGACCAGAACTAAGACTGTGAAGTGATTGGGAAATCGATAGAGCGTTTCGTGACTTAATACTTGCCATATCAAACCATGAACGCTGACATGGGAGGCGACTATGGGAGAGGGCGAAGGATGACAGCCCGTGTTGGCGACACCCGGGAGGTGTGGCGAACCCTCGAATAAAAAAACAGCCTTGAAAAATGGCATCGCCTGTTGGACCAGGCCACAGGGTAGTATTTATGTCACCACACGTCTGCAGGCGGGCTTTCGCGGGGCATAGAGGATTTGTTGCAGCCGAAAAGTCAAGCCGGAATGATGGAAGTCGTACCGATCTTGTCCTTGCGTAAATGTTGAAGCCAGTGAATAGATGGCTGGCCAAGGGCCTAGACATTGGCCAGGTCTGATTAGCCTCAGCTTACCAGCGCAACGTGAAAGGCCTGGAGGCGCTTCTGCATGTGTAGTACCAAACCATTGACTACCTGGGGGGCAGGTACTTGCGCAACCTTGTTTTATTGAACCATGTGGCTAGGAGGGATATATAAAGTCTCACCTACTGTGTAGGATGGGTTATGTTTGGCATCTGGAATGGTGTCGGTGTTGAAGAGTCGTAGACTTCCGACAATGGCTGAACGGCGCAGCCAACAGAAGGATAGAGCTGTTCCACAACTCAGTTGTGCTCTGTGCCGAGATCGCAAGCTCAAGTGTGACAAACTCGACCCTTGCACCAATTGCACGTCGTCCGGAGTTGTCTGCGTCCCAGTATATCGTCCACGACTGCCTCGAGGTCGACACGCTCGTCGCGCGAGGAACAATGCCTCTCCAACCGCCGCCACAGGTCCGCCGATCACACCTCCATGTCGCCACACATCAACAGGCGAACACGGAACTAAAGAATTGTTTGCTCCCGGCAAAGGCAGCGACCGGGGCGACCGTGGCGTCCTTGGTTTTCGAATTGATCGACTGGAAAGTTTAGTTCAACGCGGAAATTGTTGCAACTCCAACGTTGACTTGGAGAATGATGGCCTACGAAAGCTTGTAAGTATTGGACCGAGTGCTGGGTGCTCATTCGATAAGTTGTCCGGTTTACCTCCCTCTGTCATTGCGGGCCGAATCACACCCTGCCCCAGTGCTGCCAGGTGCGAACCTTGGCCAGGAATGCAGGCTCTCTCTCCCAAACGCAAATAAAGACTGAACGTGGCAGAAAGCATGGCTATTTGACAATGAGAGAAATAGCGATGTTGCTAACAGTCGGGACAATTTAGGATCTTTCTGATCGCATTCGAAGGCTCGAGAGTCTGGTTCAAAAAATCAGCTCAGAGTCGGGCAACCAGGCAGGAGCGAGCCAGCCATGTCAAGAAGCCCACGAACATGGCGGGCGCAGAGCTTTGGCAGAGTCATCCACGGCAAGTCTGCATTCTGACTGCACAGACAGATGACTCCATCAACTTGACGGAATATTTCGAAGCGCAATGGAGTAAGCTGACCACTACGGTGACTTATAGTTGCTACGACGCTCAATTGAGGACTCCGACGATGCCCAGCTTGCCGCCACAAGTCTCCCGAGCCCAACATCGTGGAAACCCGAGCTTTCAGTCGGTAGTGACCACGATGATGGTTTGTGTGTGCAAGAAGCCAGCGGTCTCTGGGCCAATTTCATCCACAGGGTATGTTTCTGGGTAAGGAAATATGGTGTTCGCCTGGAGATCAGGAGGGCTGATAAACCACCTCGTCGGTGACCATAGGATCGGGGGATAGAACGTGCCGAGTTGCCGCTATTCGACGAAGGGACTAACCAAGAGATCGAAATGGACGAGCAAAGACAGGATGAGCATGCCAAAAAGGCCATGTTTTGCTTGAGCCTGTTGGGACTGAATAACCCGCGCATCACCAGCGCAACAATGTTCGCTCGCGATAAAGAAGCTATTGGAAACATGTGTCGTGTCTATCTCCAAAACGTGGACCCCATCATCAAGGTGCTTCACAGACCATCTCTCAGTCGATGGATGCTGGAAGGAGATAGGTACCTCGGCTATCCAGAAGAACATACTTCTGTCATGGCATTGGAATCTGCCGTATGTTATGCAGCCGCCAATACTTTGACAGACAGTCAATGCAAGGCTATGTTTCGCATGAGCAAAGCTAGCATAGTGTCGATGCACCGCAAGTTCTGTGAAAACGCAATTGAACGGGCCGGCTTATTAACGACGCGGGATAGAATCGTTCTTCAGGCTTTTGTCCTATATCTTGTAAGTTTATGAGAAGGCCAGGTCGACTTTTTGTTACAAGCTTTGAGGGGCCGCTGACAAAAGTCATGCTTACAGATAGGTCGAAGATCAGAAGAAAAGGGCGCAGCTGTCTGGACCCTGGTGGCACTGGCCGTGAGACTCACAATGGCCATGGGTCTAAACCGAGAACCCAACGAATTGGCCCAATCTACCGAAAGCTTCTTTCATCGGCAAATGAGGCTTCGGTTGTGGCTCACCATCTGCCTCCTCGACTTACAAGCCTCCTTTGCACAATCCACAAAGCCTTTGATCAGTCATGTGGATGCTGAAGCTGCCATGTCCGAAGTCCGACACATAAACGATGACGACTTTGAGCCTTACACCATGAACGAAGTGACCGACCGAGAAGAACTCACCGATACAACCTTTGCCCTTGTAACATATCGGGCACAGGTCGCGGGGCGCTTGCTGAATTTCGCGGGATCGGAACCAGGTATTGGTACTACCAGTAGTTGTTCCACTTTCTGCTCAGCTGCTTTCCCCAGCCAGGAACAGAGAAGGCATTACGTCAGTCAGTTTCAGCAACAATCTCTGGCTCTTGTTCATTTTTGCGATCCAGAAAGCTCTCCCTATGCTTGGTTCACCTGGCACAGCACACAGTGTCTCGTGTCTGCGATGCGACTTTCGGAGCTGCTACCCTTCCAGTATACTTCAAGCAGCCAGAGCTTAACAACGCTGCCGTCGCCGCAGCCGCGGGCTGATACAGATTTGCTTAGAAGAACTCTCCAAAACCTCGAAAAAACCCAGCTCATTTACACGGACCCTCGCGGGGAGGGATTCCGCTGGTATATCACAATTCCATGGCTGGCACTTTCCACCGCCATAACTGAATGTACTTCATGTGCCGATATGGCGCTGGTGCGTAGAGCCTGGCCAGTAATAGAGGCGTCGTACCTGCAATATGAATCGTTCTTTATAGAGAACAACAGTGAGACCTCCCGGCCGCCGCTGGCACTCATGATGGATCAGACCCGAGAGAAGCTGTCGACAATATTGCAAGGAACAAACCTTTCTCGCTACATTCCATGCGGCAATAGGGCCAGGGATGCAGCTGCCAAGTTGCTGACCCAAGTTAGGTCCAGAAAAACCAGTCAAAGCTCCTCTGCAACACCTATTGACCCAGTGTTAAATGCAGACGAGGTGTTGATGAACGGCTCCACCTTCGGCTCCGAAGCTTCGCATACCATGTCAACCCAATTTTTCTCGCAGCATAACTGGGATCCTACCTCAGTCTCTTTGGAATACACTTCTGGAATGGACGGGTGTATGGCGACTCCAAACTTGTACCATACAATTTCTTCTTCGGAGGTTTTCGAGCCTTCCTGGCTGACTGGCGATGTCATGGGCGTGTACTCGAATATAGACGAAGATGATGATGCATCGATGCCTACTAATAAGAGGGAAAATAGAGACGTGCTCTAAATATAGAACTATGAAAGACTGCAAGAGTCGGATGGGCTGGCGACATATGGTTGATTGTGAATGCGGATATTCTGAGATATTCTGAGTGTTAGCCTGTATTGTCAACGAAGTCACTATACCATTTTATATGCTTTATTTCCACCTTTTTAGTACATGAGACTGATGGGAAACACCGTGGCATCCTGGGATTCACTGTACTCGTGAAGCTTGCGGTTATGAGATAGCATTATGCAGCAAGTCTCGCTGATGCTGGCTACACATTCGTCGCGCATCTGAGGCTCATACGTACTCCCACAAGAATAAGCGGCACTGCGAATAAAAAGAATTTCACATTAAAAGTATGAAGACTAAGCTGAGCTATTGTGTGATGCTTTTGGCCACCCACTTACTGACACCACTTCACGTCGAACCGTAAGAACTGTGCTCTCATTGGCAGTATGCTAAATTCTGTTGCACCGGGAAAAAGGGCATGTCACCTTCCCACCAAGCTCAGACATATTGGGGGAATATTGTTGCTGTTGTGCGAGCTTATCATCGCGGCCGATGGGGAAACGGCACCTGTCAGGACCGAAATGGTTGGCTTCGGTTGAAAACCTGTGTCCCAGCCGGGCCGGGCCCGAAGGTAGCAGAGTTGCTCGAAGCTTGGCTACTGGAGGAGCTGTCTAGACGCCGGATCAATACATGGAAGGAGATGATCCCATGACCAAAAGATGAGTGAGGAGAGAATTACCTGGTGGTGTATTATAGTCGCTGTCATGCTTCATACTAACATGTACCATAGTATATTAATGTGTAACCCTTGATAGGGGAATGTCTTTCGCCACGTGTACTAAATTTCCGTCTCACAATGCTCTTTGATAATGGGGTCGCGTGAAAGCGACGCCTGGCTTTGCTGCTGTTCTTACAATAGCCATGCAATGAAGCTCCAGGCAGCCATGACTTGGAGTACGGATGAAGGAGTTTCAGCTCGTGCTTCTGCCATCATGGTGCCCCCCGCAAACCAAGTTCACCACAGGCAGGTCCATGCCTTTGCGACTGCAACAATTCGACGATCCCAGTATCTTCGAGTGGCTCCTTTGCTCTAGCGCAATCCCAAGTCCAGCAAGAAAAACGAGCCGCTGTGCCAAGCAACCCCTGGGAAGCCGAACTTCCGGATACCGCAGCAGCAGGGTATTTGCATCTACGGATTTTGACTCGATTTTTATCGTCCGTCAGCTGGGGCCCCGTCCCAGACTGCGTGGCGGTGAATGTCAGCCGCGCGGCCCAAACATCCGATCCAATCTGCCAGATTCGGCAACCGCCTAGATTATCTTGGCGATGAGACTAGCACGCCGATGGAAGCTGAAGGCAACAGGGGTCCAGTTCAGCTCCGATCGATTCGTGTTCCCACCAACATGCCACGGTTCCCAGTGGCGGTCATCCTGGATCCCTGAGTGGACGTCGGATGGTAACAAGTCCTCAGCCTTTTGTGCCGACTTGCCAGCAGGGTCAGCAGTGCATATAAAATTGAGAGGCGGCGAGCTGTGTTGCGTTTTTGGAGTGACGCCGACAAACGCAGGCCTGTGAAAGTAGCTTTATGCCAAGCTGACACTTTACTTGAGCGGATCCCCCGGGCATCTAGACCAGGGGACAACATATTGAAGGGTCAGACGACGTGGCCTCGAAGTTGCATCTTGTCCGCCACGATGTGACAATGACTCGTGACATACTTGCAAGTGTACCAAAAGATGTAGGGTCATACAGGACCATTTCCTCCATCTGCGTTTCAACCAAGCAATCCTTCATATGGCGAACCTTTCCACAGACTAGTATAGCGAATGTGATTCATGCCTCCTCGAAGGACTTTGTAATTTTCTTCGGCAATCTATATGGCGTGCTCCCACTCCATGTCGACTTCGTCCACTGTAACTACTGATAATAAGACGACGGGGTGGCATACCAGTCGAGTATGGACATTGCGACCTTGACGACCAAGCCAAATTGGGTAGAAGCATCGCGAACCTCGCAATTAATGTCAACGCCGGCGGGAGGCAAAAAGTATTCGACAAAACCAAGTACCTAGCTCTCACGCTCTGCACTACAACATACTATAGTATATTGGCGTAAAGTTTTTAGTCGGTAAATATATTCTGCCACCGCCTGTCGCCTATCTGAGGGAGGAGGCAATCGTTCGGCGGCCCTGGGCGCAATAGATACTGCAATAATGTTGGAATGAGAATATTGCTAAAGCGAAATGGTTAGATGTCATGTTTTTAGCCGAGTCAACGCTCTTATTTTCGTAAAAAGTTCTTCGGCGCGTTTGCGTGTGCATCAAGGCTTGGCGCAATGTGGGCTACAGTGCTCATGCATACAGTTCTCAATAGACGTACTCTGAGAAAACTCATTCTTCGGCGTCGCTTTCATCCTTGGTCATTTCGGCCTATCGATTTTTTGTAAGTAGTGTCATAAATGCTACGTAAATAGGCGTGATTAACATACCTCGATGATCTTTTCAAAATACTAGGTTATTAACGATAAGTATATGGCAAGCTTTATAAATATAATAAATAAAAATAACTTACTTCTCTGATATTTTTCTATTATTCGTGTCAGGAGATGATAGCGAGAGCTAGATACTTTTATTGTAAAATGACTAGGACTAACCTTTGGCTTTGGCGGCTTGTCCGCCTCCCCCTTCTCCTCGGTCTGAACAGGTTAATAATAGGGCTATAATATTCTCATAGTAGGGATACTATACATTTACACGCCGCAAGGTTTGTCAGTATAGGTAGACTAGTTGAAGTAAAAAAGTCCGATTTCACACTAACCTGGCGTTTTTTGCCAGCCGACTGCCCAAGCGCATGTGTCAGTAATTGATGAGAACACCGGCTAGAAACAAATAAACACACCGGTTGACGAGTCTATCAAGGCATCTATTTAGTATAATTACACACGGTATTGGTACATACGTGTGTATGTCCTGTTTATTATAAAGCAAAGATAGAGTTCTTTATGGGGGAAAGATATTCTGGTATAAGATCTAGAAACAGGGGACTTACCGCGGGGCCGTGGGGGGGCCCAATTGGCGTCAGATTCTTTATCAGTAGTCGTCAGATAAATCTAATACGTACATATCTCTTATATTTATCTCTTACTCTTGGCTGCTTTACGAGTTGTATTGTCAGCTTCGTGATCAGACGAGACGGGCAATCGCGGGTAGATGCTGGTAACACGCACCGAGAAAACACGAGTCTATATAAAAAAGATTATTAGTAAGTCAACTAATAAAGTAAATAATAGATATAACTTACCTGCCGGCATTGCCGGGCAATGTGGCCTTCCTGGCTGTTACACGGAAAAGGCCCAACAGATCGTGAAGCCCAACAAAGGGGCTTCGCCGATAAAGGAACCTGTTAGTTACACAGCTGGAACACGTGCCCGGGCAAGAGCCCCAGGCCCGGGCGTTCCTTTCATGTATATAAAGCAGTCACCTTTCCCTTCCTTCCTCTTAGCAACTCAGGACCTTTGACATCCTACGAGATTATTATTGAATAGAGCCCTTTTTGCTCCAAGCCTTCATACTGAACCCTTGTCACACTGGCCGCAAGCATAACACTACATTTATTAGGATATAATTGTTGGCCAAAAGCGTAATAAAACTAACAGTAAGAGGCTGTTCATATAGTTAGACTTTGTTGATATATTAGCACGTAAGAGCTCAAAGCAAATAACATACCATCTTGTTTCAATCGGGAGCTTCAAGGCCATTGCATATTAGCACCTATTTTGCGTAGTTTGTACAGGTCGGAGAAGCTTGGGCACGTACAAAACATTGAAATGGTATTCGTGCCAAGTACGCTTGCTAGGAGTCGAAGTCTGCTTCGAAGCCGGAGTCTTCGTATACGTTTTCACAGGAGTTCCGGACTGAGGCCAAGCCTCTGCACTCAGTAAACAAGTCGGGGGCACTTTCGGCATGTAAATAACAGCGTTCTCTGAAACCCAAGAGGTTAGCCACCCAAATGCACACGATTCGGAACAGAAAAGAGAGCCCTCACCCCATTCCATATCAACTCCAAGTGTTTTGAAGTCAAAAAGGGCCAAGTTGTTACGCTACAGAACAGAGGGGGCAAATTGCAATGATGAGAGGTGAAGGAAGAGGAGGACTTCAGAATCGAACATAGAGGCAAGGCAGGTGCGTTTAAGAGAAAGGATGACTGAGGTGTCAACTGGTCTATCTGCCCCCCCGCAGCCCTGAATAAACAAACAAACAAACAAATTAAATTGTGAGAAATAATGACGCCTGGTTCGAATCCACTGAAAAAAAAAACATTCGACCACCTCGCCTTGATAAAATTCTAATTCCAGTATCAATTCTGCATCCATCGCGCCCAAGGCCGGCTTTAGACCCTCCCCGACAGACCACAGTCGGAGGCAAAGAGTCAAATTTTACCGACTATCAAGCTCTATACTACAATGTACCACAGTATATTATTGTATAGTTCTTGATAGGCGAATATATTCTGCCACAGAATGCAAGTTTAAGTTGCGTCGACGGTCTCCCCTCGAGCGGTGCTCTGCTAAGAGCGATACAGAACCTTTACGGTAGGCACAAACAACCAGGAATTCCACCGTACGCTCCCCTTTATGTGGGACGCCGTTGAGAGTGTCAGAGTCATGTCTGGTACTCAAATGTCGCCATGGATAATACAACGACTTCTTTCCGTGATCACATCTGCACTCACTGCGTCCGGTCCGCTGTGCGTGCTGGCACTGGGGAGTAGCTCAAAACTCCGACCCCCAAGGAGCCCGCCTCGGTTGAGATCCGCTGCGGTTTCCCCACTGGAAGCGAATCCAGGGAAAACAATGAAGTGCCTAAACGTTATACGCAGTGCATCCAGCGAAACGACGCCTACGAAGGGGTATTGCGTCATGTTCCCGTGGTCCTCGGTGGTGTTTCGCTAATCATTCGCGGTATAGATCCTGTCCATAATCTTTGGCACGTTCCGTGACGTGCGTAGCATTTTGTCTTGGCTCGATGACCTTCTGGACGCCCGCAAGTCCGAAGATGAGAATGCGCTCCCCACGCCGAGACTGCGCACCGCGTCGCATAGGGGTTGACTGGTGCCTAGAAGAGTTAATTCATATGTACGTCGCTTCCTGGCTGTTTTGGTATTTTAATCGTAGTTGACGCGCTAGATGAATGCCCAAACAACATTGGCAATGACTTCACCGAAATATTCAAACTTCGAGATACGACTAGAACATATATTTTTGCAATCTCAATTTTTACTTTGGTGGGTGAGAATGAAACTACTGGGGGAAGAGTGCAAGATATATGTGCAAATTCACGAGACAGACAGTTGTCTACCAATATGACGCGGCTACCCTCCCTCGTCCAGCACAACCCACGGTTCCACAGCTTCAAGAACAGATTGAGTCTTGAAATTTGAGAAGCTGTTGGTGACATGTGCGTCTATATTACTCAGAAAAAAAGCTAGCTCTGAAAACCTGACTAGATTCCTTCTAGCAAAGATCCATGCTGAGTCGCTTGAAGATGAACTCTCGCCAAAGGTGATGATGACTGCGTTAGGACGCCGTGGAAACAAAACTCAAGAGGAGCACCAAAATTTGAGGGTTATAGCCCCATAAACACCCGTGGACCTACGTTAGTTTTGACGAAAGAGTTCGCCGTCTTAGTATACAGGACGAAATATCGTCACAACTATAACCCAGGGAAAAAACAGTGAACGCTTTTGAACACGCTGTCCAATCATGTATTGTAGGCAAATCTCGACAAAACCCCCAATCCTCCTCGGAAGCATGGACCTGAGCCAGTCATAATCTGGCATGAAAGAGCTGCATAGTATGGAAAGTGACGTTCATGAGATTGGTCTCCATTGCGTGACGATAACCGAGACTTTTAATTAGAGGGAACTTGCTTCGTTTTGTCCAAGAACTAAAGAGCTGAGTGCCCACGCTGATGGTATCTGTGCCATAACTAGCCTCCCTTGTATACAACTATGAACGGTGCTGAATGACTCCCATGTCTTCTCGAAAATGGAAATATGCTTCATCTTTCCATTGCAAACACTCCTTATTTCGAAACTACCAACCCTTTTAAGGTTTCTCGTCCAACTTGGGCTTCGCCGCGCGAAACATGAATACTGTTCCAACGACCCGAACCTCCACTTCATGAAAGTTTTGTCTCAGGGCATGCTCAAAGTCATATGGGTTATCCTCCTTGTTTTGAAAAATACCCGCTTCAACGACCTTTCGACGCATATGAGCCGCGAACCGGTTATCTTTTCTCACACCCCTCGCCACTACATTGGCCCCGTGAATGACACCATCGGGGGTCATGTTGTTCTTGATATGCGAAAATATGTTGCACTTCTCCTCCACGGTGGCCGGGATGCAGTGAAGAAGATAATACATGGAAATAGAGTCAAACTTGTCGTCCACGGGAAGAGGCTTTAAAATATCGGCGACAATCGCACGCGCATCAGATCGCCCGCACCTCTTCAATGCAAATTCCAGAGCAGTCTTTTCGATATCCAGCAGAGTGATCTTTGTTGTTGGTGGGATGCGGCCTTTGCGGAGGTAATAGCCCGTTCCGATTCCAATGTCAAGATGGTTTTTGCCCACGTTGGCGCGAAATTGAGGCAGAGGGTATTGAGAAGTAGGGCATCCCCAGGCATATGTGCTCACAATGCCGAGGACCCAGTAGTCGTAGAGGAGAAGTCGTCTTGTTTTGTACAGCTCTGCGGCCTTGTCGTCGCCCGAAGAGGCTGATCCAGATGCAGACATTTCTAGTCGTCTCGAGGCGTAACTGGCAAAGTATGCTAATTACACAGTAGGCGAATTCAAATTGTAGAAATAGTGAAAAATAGACGGAGATATATGGAAAGTAACAGAAACCATTATTTGTTCGCTCTTCTCTGCCCAGGCGTCTTGTTTGTTTGACATGGGGGCATATTGCCAATTTGGCATATTGCATCTGGCATTTATGACGGCTCGGGACTTGATCGGCCTTTGGGGGTTTATCTGAAATAAGGAAATATGTACTTGATGTCCATATTTGGCTCACATGCTCCTCTCCATACACGCGGTTCTATGCACAATTTGTTCCAAAACCCGACGACAGATTCCGATCATGCACAGCCAACGGAACACCCAACAAGGCTCTAATGGTGCCAATTGGAGGAAATCAGTCCAAATTTTAATTCACGTCTTCTGGTTTCTGTTGAAGCTACCAAGAGGTTCGCAGTGCCTTCTGTAAGGCCGAGTCGACATCAGGAACAGGCACTGCCAGTGAGTTCCCCATCCAATTGTTCGTCCCTGGAACCACAGTTTCAACATGGCGACACGAATTCCATTTGACGAGTCTTTTTGGCAAGAATACCTTGAGGGACAGGAAGCCCAACTGCCGCAGCTCCGTGACGTTGAAGATGTGACAGATCGTGTTGTCCGCATCATGGGAGGAAATCCAGGCATAATGCAGCTCCAAGGGACAAACACTTATCTTGTGGGAAATGGAAAATCACGAATCCTCATTGACACAGGGGAGGTGTGTCAAAACCCCATGGACGCTTGCGCGAAAGAGAGACTGACTGGTTCGTAGGGACTACCATGCTGGATTGAACGAGTCATCCGGGTCCTTGAAGACCGGCAACTGGACCTCTCATTCATCCTTCTGACTCACTGGCACGGAGACCATACCGGTGGCGTTCCTGATCTTATATCCCATAACCCCAACTGGGCAGACCGAGTTTACAAGAACCGACCCGATCGCGGCCAGAATCCCATCGCAGATGGCCAAATCTTCTCCGTCGAAGGAGCCACTATCCGCGCAGTTTTCACTCCTGGCCATGCCATAGACCACATGTGTTTCGTCCTTGAAGAAGAGAACGCCCTATTCACTGGAGATAATGTCCTCGGACACGGATTCTCCGTGGTGATGGATCTGGCTGTCTACATGAGAAGCCTAGACTGTATGGTTGCACAGGGCTGCGCGTCTGGATATCCGGCTCATGGCGCCAAGATTGCCAATTTGCCGGCGAAAATGCAAGAATACATTCATCACAACGAGTTTCGCATTCAGCAAGTTAGCTCAGCTCTGTCTTGGCATTGTGCCAAAGGAGCGAAAGGGGGCATGACTCTGCAGGAGATCATACAGTCAATATATGGCAATGTACCAAAAGAGATTGTGGATAATGCCCTGGTTCCGTTCTTGTCCCAGGTTCTGTGGAAGTTGGCCGAGGACCGGAAAGTTGGTTTCTCTCCTGGTGAGCCAAAGAAGAGGAGATGGTTTGGGTTGGGGGTGGCTCACTGAGTGGCTCTTCTCGCAGCGTAGGATGTTTCAATTTAGATCAAACCGTTCACTGACAAGTCCTGTATTGTGATGGGTCTTAATTCTAGAGGCTGTCCATGGTTAAGTGAGAGTGTGAATCGAGAGTATTGACTTGGCCTGGAATGGGCGAAAGCAAAGATGCTTTGCGTTGGAGATCAATGGAGAACCTACATTTCTAGCTGACATCTAAAGAATATATTGCTACTGAGTGGTCTCTAAGCCGACACTTTTGCGGCTTTGTTTGCTTGTGCTATTTTCAGCTTTCTCTTCTCCGCAATGTCCTGCCATTCCGCCATGGGCCTATGCAGGACATAGAACCGAGTTTTAGATCTCTTGACTGCCTCTTGAACGCGTTTACAAGCTCCATTATAGTAAGCAGAGACGGCCTGCTTTAAGCATGGATCATTTACGATAGCTGAGGCAAGCTCGACACTATCCAAGAGAGCATGGTTACCCCCTTCGCCTCCGAAAATCGGCATTGCATGCCATGAGTCCCCAACAAAGACAACACCCTGGCTTCCACCTTTTATAGCGTCTTCCGTAGACATGTAGACACATCGGCTAACCCAGTGGAATACCGAATGCCCCTTGATGGTCTTCGGGTTGACGTATCTGGCCCACGGTTCTGCAAGTTTAACTGACGAGAGTTCTGCCACCAGCGCCTCGGGGATATCGCTGGGCGTATCTTGGGCTTTGATGTCTTTGTCAAATAATATGTCGTTGTGGCCACGAGCTGGTCTAGAGTATGACCAGTCCAGATGAACTTTGTTTTTCGTCATGTTGCAGACTGTGATTGGGGTATTGAAACCATCGCCGACGCCTGCTAAAATGTTTGAACCATTGGCAAAGGGTTTAATGTATTCGTCAAATTCTTCGCGAGGCAGATGGAATTCGCCGTGATAGACGACGACAGGAATAATCTCGGGGGTAATATGAGGAAGAATTTGAGATCTAACTGCGCAGGTGTGTAAGGAACGTTGGAAGTTGTTCAGGGTGAAATCGGTCATAGCTACCCGCAGAGTGAACACCATCAGCAGCGATAATCAAGGAGCCGCTATACTGGGCTCCATTTTCAAACACGACCGTCATGTTTCCGGTTCTCCCAGACACGCTCTTCAGCTTGTGTCCGTATCGCACATCCAAGTCATCGTCGCCACAGTCAGCAATCCATGCCCGCAAAGCATTGCGATTCGCTCGCATCACCGCAGGCCTGTTTTCCTCGGGTGGCGCCACCAGCACATCGCCAGTTGAGTTGTCGCGCATACACAAATCAACCCATCCGGTGCCACCAACGTGTCGATCCGGTGCAACTGCTTTGGCCATGCTCTTCAGGGATACTCCGCCAAGACCCTCGAGAAGTGCAGAATAGCCCCAGTCGTGTAAGCTAATAGCGAAACCTTGACTACGCTCTGGAAGTGAAGACTCGAAGATGATATTCGGAATGCTGTGGTTTGTCAAAATTCGTCCGGTAGCAAGGCCTGATAGGCCTGCTCCGATTATGAGAATTGGGGTGGCCGGTTTCCTTGTTGCCATTCTGAGCCAATGAATCGAAATTCTGTAGTTGGGCGAACTCAACAGGCACTTAATACATTGAATAATGCTCCAAGTTGATGCCGGTGCCTTCCTGGGTATTTGACATATTTACGCAATCTGCCAAATGAGCAAGCAGTCATTGGTATCGCACAGCCCAGCTGACGAGGTCTCCACCGAAACCAGCTGTCAAAATGCCATTACTCGGAGCGCCGGTTTTTATGGCTTCTTAATTTGACTGGTCAGTAGACCTGGTCAAGGAACCCAACCGTTCTATGCAAGGATACAATATGGTCAGTGCTGGTTCTTAAAAGCCGGATGGTGTGACGTTGAGAGTGAGATTTACTCATGGTCCATTTTCTCCAAAGCATTGGTGCCCGTGGTTTCAGATGACATTCACTTGCAATCTGAGCCCATCACTGGTATTGTCAAAGAAAGAGCATATCGGAGAGCATGTTGCAGGGTTCGTCACAGCCAGCTTGACAGCTCGCGCAAAATCTGGTTTGAGACGAGGAATTGAAGAGTTCATGTCCTCATGCATCTGTTGGTCAGGGAAGGAGCAACATTAGGTGCTGACTCATCACCCTTCAAGTCCCCCCCCGATGTTGCAAAAACAGAATGAACGAGCTTTTGCGGTGCAAGGTATCATCGATGCAAATCTCCGATCTGCAAGTAAGCCATGTTAAATTTTTCGCAATCCTTTGTGAAATGCCCTGCCACTCTGGCATGAACATCATCTCCCTTGTAAGACATTTCAGCCTTACGTTACTTGGTTCAGCGACTAGTCGAAGCCCCGAACTGGGCCTCTGCGCCATAGCTTGTTGGTATTGCGGTCGCCAAAAGAACGCGTCTCGGTAATGTCGCAACTCGTTGCCATTGCTCCTGCGCCAGGAAAGTCTCCGTCCGCGGAAGCCGGCGTTGCTTCGACTCCGGATTCTGCGACAATGCAATTCAACTGTCAATCATGCGTTCGCAAAAAGGTCAAATGTAACAGGACTCTTCCCGTTTGCTCTGGCTGTCACAAGGGCAACCTCGAATGCACATATCTTGCTCCGCCGCCAAGGAAACGGAGAAGGGTGCAAGATGAGGATATGAATCAACGCCTGGCTAGATATGAGAGCATCTTACGAGCCAATGGTCTTCTACAGCCAGCACCGACATCATCTCACAGCGGAGATGCAGTGACTCAGCGTAGCAACCGGCATGCGACAGAAGTCTTGTCCAACAACCAAGGCCCAGCTGAAGTCGGCAAACTTGTTTCAGCAGACGGCAAGTCCCGCTACATTGATAGTGTCCTGCTGCTTCCCGCTGGAGATGGAGATTTGTGTGAACTGTCAGATTCAGACTCAGAGATCAACGAGGATGACAACGAGGCTTCGAGAAGAGACCATAGTGTATCCAGCAATCTAGGCTTCTTAACTGGGGAAGCTGTCCCCCTGGCTATGCTGGGACGCCATCAAAGCCTAGCCGACGTCCATCCAACCCACGATGAGGCTTTGAGCCTATGGAATGCCTACGTTCAAAATGTCGAGTCCCTGTGCAAAATTCTGCACATCCCAACGATGGCACAGATGGTTGACACAATCTCTCGGAAGCCAGCCTCAGTTTCAAAAGGAGATGAATGCTTGGTTTTCAGTATTTACTACCTTGCTGTGTTTTCCATGCCGGACGCCGACTGTCTGCAGACGTTCAATAAGCAAAAGCACGATCTAATGGCAAAGTACCGCAGTGCTGTTCTTCAAGCCCTAGTCAATGCGTCGTGGTTAAAAACCACTTCATTGCGTGTGCTTCAGGCCTACGTAATATTTCTTGTGGCGGCACGTAGTCAGGTCGATCCGCATACTTTCTGGAGCTTAACTGGCATCGCCATTCGACTTGCGCAGCGCATGGGACTGCATCGTGACGGGGAAAACCTTGGTCTTCCACCTTTTGAGGTCCAAATGCGCCGTCGACTGTTTTGGCAGCTACTCCCTCTTGACACCTATGCTGGTCAGGTTTCAGGTACGGGGATTTCGATAGCACCGGACAGCTGGGATACCAAGCAGCCATTGAACATCAACGATGACCAAATTTATCCTGGAATGACCGAGATACCAGAAGAAAAGAAGGGAGCCACAGAAATGATATACAGCCTTGCCAGGATAGAATTGTCCAACTTTTACGCCAAGACGGGTGTGAAGTTGAAAAGCGCGGCGGTATCATTCAAAAACTCAGAAGAGATCGAAAACTTGATCAATGATGTCGAGGGCTCCATAGAGATGAAGTACCTTCGGTACTGCGACATCCTCAACCCGCTACACCTTCTAACGCTCGCAGTCGTGAGGTCAGCTGCGAATATTGTTCGTTTACGCAACCGAATGAAACCAGTAATGGATAAAACCGTGAATGACGGTGAGCGAAACGAGCTTTGCGCCCTCTCGGAGAGGATCCTTGAGACAGATAGTACTATTTATCGCAACCCGTCCTTGAAGAAATTCCGATGGCAAGTGAAGAACTTTTTCCTTTGGGATGCACTTCTCTGCATCTTACTCAGTATCTCCAAAGCTGGCTTCTACAAAAGAGCGGAATTAGACAAGACGTGGAATATGGTTGGGGAGGTCTACGCAAACCATGAGGATCTGTTGGAGAGAAAGAGAGCCCTACACTTCATGATCTGTGATGTCACGTTAAAGGCCTGGCTCGCGAGCCCTCCAAAACAACCTATACCTGAACCTTCCTTCATATCGTCTCTTCAAAACCAGCGCAAACGCAAGTCCCGGGGGCCGCAAGATACTATCAGTGATACCGTCAGTGAGATGGGCAGTAGCAATGATGCAATGGAGGAGACGTCTACGACTGACGGGCTCTTTGGCCATATTGACGGCACGAATCTGATGATGGAAAATAATTTGAACACGAATCCTTCAGATTGGTTATTCTGGGATCAATTCTACCGCGATACAAATCTTTGTTGAACGACCAAGGCATCGCGTCATGTAAATATGTAATTGTATCAACGCCATACACTGTCACCCTGGTATGGAAGTTATGCGCGAAACATGCAACTCGCCACTTGACTTCTACAACGTATGCATTGTATAGAATGAAACCAACACCGCTTCATGGCATACGTCGCGGGGATTTGATTTCGGGGGGCTAAATCGGAAAGACGAAACCCACTTTGAGTGGAAGCATGCAGCGACTAACTCATAATTGAACGGTGAATGGAGGTTGAAGCCGATATGGGGTGTTCTGTCAGCCCATATGGCATATACTCGATTCGGGCTTAGGGGCGCCAATACCGCATCGGATTTTACATTTCACTTTTATTTACCAAGCTGGCACTATGTCAGCCGCAGTGGAACATCGGATTTAGAATGAACTTTTGGTAAATAGGAATTCCCGGCCACATTGCGTACAGTGCAACTGGCTGATGTGTTGTCATGCTGTTCAGGGTTTTCACGACCCATCTGGGATCCAGGCTTTTGTTTTAGGTCAGACAGGCCGGTTTCTTCGGTGTAAAGACTGAAAACGCTTCAAGATAGCCTTTTTACAACTTCTACGTGGTTGAACTACTGCGTTCAGACTAAAAGTATCTGACCAAACGACCATGGCGCCATACGAACCACGGACCGGATCCCTCCCGGGTTCTGGACCAATCCTCACCAAAGTGAGCCGCTTCATCAAGAAACTTCAAACATATCTCCAATTCCGCTCGGCAAGTTTGCCAAATGAGAAGAGCCTAGCATATTCAACAGCGTCTGCCGAGGATGAAGTTAGCAACGTCTCCAGCGAACTAGAAGAAGAACCTCTCTGGCGCCATCCCTCACCGCAGACCAGTCAGATGTGGGAGTTTCTGATGAAAATAAACACCAAGTATGGGAAGCGCTTTACGACATACAAAGAACTACACGCCTGGAGTACAGAACACATTTCCGACTTTTGGCGCGAGACCTGGGACTACTGTGGTATTCGACACTCACAATCATATGGAGAAGTTATAGATGATGCGTCACGCATGTGGCCAAGGCCAACATGGTTCAAAGATGCACGACTGAACTTTGCTGAAAATCTGTTATTTCCCATCCAACCCGTTTCCGAGGATGATGTTGCTGTGATCAGCGTCACGGAAACGAAACGGGAAAGGCTTACATGGAAACAACTCCGAGAACAAGTACGCCAGTGCCAAGCAGCCATGAAGGCAATGGGATTGAAGCCAGGAGACAGAGTAGCAGGCTACGTTGCGAACCACAGCAGCGCGTTGGTGGCCATGTTGGCCACGACCTCCCTCGGGGCGATCTGGACGGCGGTCAGTCCCGACACTGGAGTCGGCGCAACGTTGGATCGCCTGGTTCAGATCGAGCCTCACTTACTGTTTGCCGACAACGCAGTTGCTTACAATGGGAAGGTGTACCCCGTTTTGCCCAAGTTGCCTGAGATTATTCGCTCCCTGCCGACGCTGGCGGCTGCCGTCGTCCTGCGGACTTGGCATCAACAAGAAGAGATTGATTACGCCGGGCTCAACACCAATGTACTTGAATTCGACGTATTCGTATCCAGGGGCGATGCATCTTCTAGCATGGAGTTTGCGCAAATGCCAGCAGAGCATCCCGTCTTTATACTGTACAGCTCCGGTACAACCGGCGCACCAAAGTGCATTGTCCACGGCGCGATTGGCACCCTTCTACAGCATAAGAAGGAGCACATTATCCAGAGTGATATCCGGCCAGGGGACCGCCTCTTGTACATCACGACATGTATGTGGATGATGTGGCACTGGTGTGTGTCGGGCCTGGCGTCCGGCGCTACAGTCGTCTTATACAATGGTTCGCCATTCTACCATGTTAACAACGGCGAGGCAGTCAAAGATGAATTGGCCATGGCCAAGATTATAGATGAGTTGGGCATTACCCAGTTTGGTGCGAGCGCCAAGTTCTTCTCCATGCTGCAGCAAAACCGGCTCATGCCCAGAAACCACGGCTTGAACTTGAATACGCTGAAGGCAATTTACTCAACCGGGTCGCCGCTCGCGCCATCGACATTCAGATATATATACGAGGCGTTTGGAAGCGTGAATCTGGGGTCGATATCCGGCGGCACGGACATCATATCGGATTTCGGCACGCCATCGCCGCTTTGTCCCGTCTACGCTGGAGAGATCCAAGTCACCGCTCTTGGGTTGGCGGTTCAGTCGTGGGGGCCCGATGGCAAGGATCTTACTGGCTCTGGAGAGCCGGGCGAACTTGTTTGTGTGAAGCCATTTCCCTCACAGCCTGTAAGTGCATGTGTGCCACTGTACATGTTCCCCTGCAGCAAAACTAACACGGTTCGAGGTTCAATTCTGGGGACCAAACGGGGAATCGAAATACAAGGCGTCGTATTTTGAAAGATTCCCCGGCGTATGGGCCCACGGCGATTTCATTAGGATAAATCCTCGTACAGGAGGGCTTGTCATGCTGGGCCGATCAGATGGAGTCCTGAACCCAAGCGGTGTGCGTTTCGGGAGTGCGGAAATCTACAATTTGATCATAAAGAAATTTCCGGAAACGGTGGAGGATTCGCTGTGTATCGGACGCCGCAGAGACGGAGACATGGACGAAACGGTTATTCTGTTCTTGAAGATGCGGCAGGGCAATATGTTTAGCCAAGAAGTCGTCACAGCAGTCAGGGAAGCTATCCGAGAGCAGCTTTCTCCCCGGCATGTTCCGGCCATTGTAGATGAGTGCCCGGACATTCCTGTTACGGCGAATGGAAAGAAGATTGAAGTGTTGGTCAAGAAGATTATGAGCGGGCTCGAAACAGGGCTTGCCGGAGGGTCGGGGGCCGTGAATGAGGATTGTCTGGTCTGGTACAAGGAGTGGGCAAAGCGGCATTGATGTAAAAATTTGAAATGTCAACCGGTATAGCCTTGAGTCGTCGCCGCACGTCGGGCTGCTGGAGAGGGTCATGTTCTTTAGTATTTGCCTGTATCGGCTGTTGAGCGGCTTCGAACCACGAGAGAAGAGCGTCTCATCGGGCTGGATATTTGGTCATTGGGACTCTGGCCTGGGCAACTTAATAGGGGCCTCAAGGACTTTACAGTGGGAGGCAAAAAGTATATAACCAGATCAGTTCGACCTCGACATGTAGAATATCGGCTGTAAGGGGATCTCCCTGCATGCCAAGGCAATCTCTATGGCGCGCTCCTACTAGATGTCATGATTCAATGTTGAACATGTCTGGTCGACTCAATTCGTCGACTCCACTATAACTATTAGTCTAAATTAAGTAAAAGTATTACTAGTGTGGAGGTCCTGCCGCGGGTGTTGCTCCCGGCAACATTGAATGCTCCTGCGGGTTCCCAAGCTGGCCCAGGTTCGCGCCCATCCTCCGCAGTTCGTCTATCCGGACCGTTCGCTGATCCTGTTGGTGAACAGCATGACGTTGTGGGTAATGATAGTCTGCCATGGATTCTGTGTTTAATTCGTTACTAGCTATAACGACTTTATTTAGTTGCCTTCGTGCTTAGCTGCACCAGTTCTTCAAATACATGGCAAAAAGAGTGCCAATCTGTTGAGAGTATCAACAGCAATTTACACAGGGGATTTTGGCATATTGACGGGGAAAACAGGGCGACGGTGGGAAATTGGCCCTATTTATATACTGGCCGTCAAATCTTTTTACCCTCTGCGTCTCGTCAGTTTCAATCCTTGGTCGTAACAGGCACTCACATGTATTTGGTATCATGCTGGCCTTGTGGTCACGTTGCTGATTTAACTGCCGCGGCCAACGTCAGCAAGGCTGGGGCGACGAGGTTACAGCGCTTTGGGGGCTTTGGAGTGTCGAGGACTTGCGAGTAGTTTTACTATTGGAAGAGACAGAGGTGATTGATGGAGAGAGAGAAAGAGAGGGAGGACTTGCAGGGTTAGATTTTCTATGTGACAAGCGCTGAAGAATTGGAGTATCATAGCTCGATTCATCTAATAACAGTCTTTGGTATTCGATCAAAGGTGCTTGGCTTTCCTCAAGGCCCGTTGACCAAAGAGCTCTTTAAATACAACAATTCAGTCAAGGTCTCCTCCCCTAGGCCCCGTCATCGTAGCCTTCATGTAACCATGTGACATTTTAACTTGATAAAGATTAGTTTAAAACACAAGCAGAAAACAAGACCCAGCATTGTGTACGACTTCATTCGCCAAACACCCGCAACATAACCAACTAGACAACTTGATAAAAACTCACACCCCATTCGCTCAACCCACTGCCAGTGGTCCAATAGGCTTGCCAATCAGATCCAACAATGCCCGCAAAATCGTCACCGGCAGAATCCTGGCGGCCTCAGGGTCAAGCAGAGACGACACCACCGTCTTCTTAGAGCAACCCTGTGGCTGCTTGCGGCCGTTCAAAACGTCCTTAAGGAACAGCAGCGCCTTCGGCGCCGGTGTAACCGCCGCGATGCCATGCTCGGCCAGCGCGTCTCGCACATATTGGATCGACGCCCCGCGCGCGCAGTAGTGTTCGTAAATGTCGTCCGTGTCTTTGACCGCGCTGACCTCGTCAAACACGCCCTTGTACAGAAAGACGGGCATCTTCGGAACACCCCGGTAGCCCATGTTGTTCTCGGCAATGACCCGGGAGATGTTTGGCTGTGCGAGCAGCCCGGGCAAATCGTTAATCATGCCGGCAACGTCTTTGAAGGCGAAATCGAGACCATTCGCCAACAGGCACTGCGTCTCTACTTTGGCCCAGGCCTGTCGATGCTCGGGCTTTAGGTTGGCGTTGATGGCCTCCTCGACGACGGGGTACTCGTTTCCGAGTCCGAGGAATCCTGACGGAAGCAAACCCGCGGCCGGGCCCTTGTTCGCGTCGTTGATCACGTTGGCTATGTTGGGTTCTGTGCCTCCAATGGCCATGCCGAGGATCTTGAGCTCCGGTGCGTACGAGGGCTGCAGCTCAGCTGCCCGAGCTGAGGTGATGGAACCGCCCGAGTAGCCCCAGAGTGCGATGGCCGGGTCCTTGCTGATGCCTGTCGTGTTTGAGGAGAGTAGAGCGGCTCGTATGCCGTCGAGTATGGCGTGCCCGGCGAGCTCGTTGGCGCAAAAGGCCGCCTTGGACCCTTGATGGTCTGGGGAGATGATGATCCAGCCTTGCTCCAAAGCAGCCTGTATGAGAATTATCTCTGCCTGTGTGATGATGGTGCCTAGGAAGCCACCGGTTGCAGAAGCAAGTTGGAGTGCATAGGACGGAGCGCAGTCCACGGTTGGGGCATCCTCGGCGATTTGATAGGACAAGACTTTGGTGTAATCTGGATTGTGAGGCACCAAGACGGTAAGCACTGTGGCGGTTGCGCGGCCGAAACTGTCCGTCGTCCGATAAAAGATCTGACGGCTGTCCTTGAGGTTGGCCTTGAGTAAGCCAAACGCAGCAATGGGAGCCGGGGGCTTTCTCTCTCTGAGGATAGCCCCTGGAGGATACTGCTCAATGTCATCAGGAACGTAGTAGAATGAGTCCTGAGTAGGGAGCGTTGGGCCGGCCCGTTCTACGAGAGGGTGTGATGACACCGGTGCCAGGACGCAAATTGTCAAGGTGAGCAGAGAAAGCCACAGACGAGCCATGATGGAGAGAGTGCGAGGATTTTTGATGACTTTCAAAGGCTCGTGCCGTTTATTGCTATACTGACTCTCCATCTGGACGATTCATCGCTTTTTATAGCCATCCGGACAGCTTCATCACATGCCGTGCTGGCTCTTTCGGAGGCTATACGAGACCTGGCCCTCGGCGGTCTAAGCGAAGCAATCATTCTGACCTCGAGTCGGATTTCAGCCTTGAACACAACTCTCGATAGCCCCGTGTATAACGCGCCAAGTCGGACTTGGGAGTTTAGCAAGCCAGTTCATTACCAGGAGGCCGCGCCCACACATACAGTCGGCCACGTGAAGTATTGTCACCTAGCGGCCGGACAGGGGTGGAGGGCCAATAGAGAGAGATTATCAATGAGAGACATGTGAATCTCAGTTGTCCTGTCGGAGTTTTACCACACTTGTCAAGTTAAGGTTAGATGCCCGGCAAAGTTTATCAACCCTGGGTTGGTCACCTAGCCCACATGTGCACACAGATGATTGTTGGCACACATCTCCCTGCAAGCAGATTACCCATCCCATCCCATCCGGTCACGGGGCGCCAACAAGTCCGGGGGCGCATTGTCCGCACGGTAAATGCGGAGAGTTGGCGCGATCAGTCCCCAGATACTAGTATGATAGTAGCATCAGCAATGCATTGCGGGGAAGAAGGGGTTTACTGGGGGTTGGTTGCCAAACCCGGGGTAAAAGCTTATAGCACCTTGACGCTAGATCAATTGATGCCCGTTTAGGAAGGAAAGCCGGCAGATACGACCCCAAAGGCGACCGACCCCGTCCGAGCGGCGAGCACCGTCCGCGCAAATTGACATGTCTGGTTTGTGCCGCGTCGGCGTGTGTGCGTTGGTGAAACGCCCGCATCAGGCAGCTGCGAATGCGAATTCCGGTGCGTGCCCGAGTTGTTTCTTTTACAACCTAGCCCTTTATTTCTCTGCGTCTCTGGCCTGTCGTGCGTGAGTGTCGCATCACGGGATTCCAATTTACGGGCGTTGCAATCCCGTCTCCGTGTAAAAGCGGTCCTGCAAAATAAAACCGTACAACTATAGGGATCTAATTTGGACCGAGTTTTTGTTCTTGAGAACGTATGGCTTAACACAATCAGCACCGATACACATGTGATGCCGTAATCATCGGCCAAATTGTCCCGTGTTCTGGTCCCTGGACGCCAACTAGGTCAGATAGAACGCAGGAGCCAGCATCCAAGTCATTATCCCGCTACACGGCTAGAGACGATCGTCTACTACTGCCCAAGACCACCGTCCTCGTTGGCATAATAAAGACAGCTGCTGTCATAAACATTGCCGTAGCAGGGATATCTTAGCCCGGGAACGCAGTGCCGGTCGTGCTTGACAGTGCAGCGGATGATGGAATGAGATGGGAGACGACGTATTATCCACATGCACCTTTCGCATCCATATACCTTGAGCACACGTAACCTCGGTTTTCTCTCAACTTGACTAACTCCATAGAGCACAAGGCATCATACAGTATCCTGCTTGACGGCACGCAGCTACTCCCATCGACAAAGTTGGCCCCGGCCATCATGATTGTGGGCGAGCGAACCTTTACAAGTTGTTAGGGCCAATAAGCCCAAGTTCTAACAGTTCCTGTTAATCGATTCAGTCATCTACTACCAAAATGATACTAAAAAGAGCTCCAATGCTCGAATACACGTGCTTCCAAGGCCCTAATGGAGAGATCCATTGGCGCCTCAGCGATCCCCCTGGCTGTCAATACTTCCCAGACAATACCTCGACCCTGCTACATTCTCAGCAATTCTGATCAATCCACGCCTTGACCTCGCCAATGGTCGGGCACTCCAGAAACAGCGAGCTCTTGACATCAATTCCAAGCTCGTTGCGAAACTTCTCCGACAAGACCAAGGACATGAGCGAGTCGACGCCAAGTTGAGTAAAGGTAGCGTCGGCCGTCAGCTCCCCCATGTCCAAGTTGGTCTCGCGCGCAATAATCTGAATACACTGCCCTACAACGCTCGTATCCTCCACCGCCTCCGGGGGCGTGTGAATCTCCGCGCTGGCATCGCTGCTGCCGGAGGATGCGCTCGTCAGACCGCCTCCATCCGACTCCTGAACCACAGCTTTTTCGGCAGCGACCACAACAGTCTTGGGCGTACGAACGGCCTCTGGAGACACCGGTGCCGGTGTACTCTTGACACGAGCGGCAGAGGAAGAGATCATCTCGCCGTTGTGCGCAGAGGGCGCAGAGAAGAAGCGATCCATCAGTAGTCGAGGCACGCGCCGGAAGCGAATCTGACTCAACACGCCGACTATATCATCCCCTTGCAGGATGTACACGTCGCCGGCGTGCATGTTTCCCGCGTCGACGGGCAGCGGGAACATGCGCACGTAGCTCTTGTACTTGCCCCCTGGCTCGAGGGGCTTCAGGAACCGGAGACTGTCGCTGCCGGGCGTGACGTAGAAGTAGTCGTCGGTGTTTGAGGCGTCGCTGCCGTTCATGATGAGGCCGGCGAGGTGGCAGACGCTGTCGATCCAGTGAGGAGGCGTGTGCCAGGTGCCGTGGCGATCCTTCGCGAGAGTCACGTCGGCCACGGCCTCGTACTCGTGCAGAATCATGCTGTCGATGCCGCGGTACTGCTCGGCGTAGTCTACCACCTTCTTGAACAGGGCGTAGGCCATGCGCTTGGAGACGCGGTTGGCCTTGTTCTCGTTGGCGAGCTGCTGCAGGGCCTCGATGCGTCCGAGAACCAGGTGCGCGGTGCGCTTCCACTCCGTGGTCCAGCTTGCGGGATCCTCGAAGAGGACGGCTGCCGTTGCGAAGTGTTCGGCCTCGCGCTCCGACGTGTCTGGGTTGACGTTGTACCACGCAAGGGACATGTGTTGCTTGTCCAAGTCCAGGTCGGCGTGGAGGGCCAGGGGCTGGTAGGCGCCTTTGGCTTTGCTGGCGACCTGCGCGTGAAGGACTTCGAGATTGCAAACGTTCATGTGGACGTCTTTGACTTGCGGCTGCAGCTTTTTGTAGAGGTATTCACCTACGGCTAACGCCATGTCTGTCCAGATGGATGATGTCGCAACTCCGCACTTATTCATGGTATGGCCGTATACAGCTTCACGGAACTCTGGATGCTGAATGTCAGACAGTACGTGTAGAGATGCTCTGGTATCTTCAATAACCTCATGGGTAACCTGGTGAATAGTGGAGGTTCGAAGTCCAGAAGAAACAGATGCCCCATTGATACGATTGTTTCCAGGCTTGCCTCCATACTTCAGATGGGCCTTGTCGAGAGCCCACGTGCCATAGTACGGAATCCAGTAATTTGTCTCGTTCCAAGAATATTTGGGCAGGTTGAGCAAAGTGTACGCCTTCTCATTGGCTCTATAGTATTCGTTCCAGTTGGGCGTAATGCCAGCGAGGTGCAGAGTAACCAGCGTCTTGGCGACGGTCGAAATATTGTCCTCGTTCCGTCGGCAAGATGACCCAATTCTCGCCTGTGGGATAATCTTCTTCACAAAGCCGACACAGACGGGATGAGGACCGACATCGATCCAGATCGTACCGTCATCGACGATTCCCAGATCCCGCGCAGCCTCAACGGCAGCCGCAAACTTGACACAACTCCGAGTCTGACGTCGAAGATAGCCAGCGCCAATCGTCTTTCCATCAAAAACAACAGCCCCAAGCATAGTAGACAGGACGGGGATACTAGGAGCCTTGAAGGGGATTGTCTGTGCCAGGACTTCCAGCTCGTCCACGACAGCGTCCATCTGAGACGTGTGGTAGGCAAACGGAATCTCCAAAGACACGCACTTGAAAGTATTTGCCTCGAGAACCCTGCGGATGGTGTCAATGTCAACCTTTGAAGCTCCAAGCACAGTATCCGTGTGCGTGTTCTGGCAGGAGACTTCATATCGGATGGCTGCCGTCTCCGCGCCGCTCTTCAACACCCGGTCAATCTCTTCAGGGGTCCCCAGGACCGACAGCATCGCATGGCTATAAGCATGGCAGCGCTGCTCGGTAATCTGTGCCCGGCGACCGACGAGATAGAGGGCATCGGCGGCGGACAGCACACCGGCGACGGCAAGGGCAGCGTATTCACCGAGGCTGTGGCCAACAACGGCGCTTGGCTTTACCCCCATGTATGCCCAGAATCGAGCGAGGGAAATCTCCAAAACAACAATGCTGAGCTGGCTGGTGACGGGGGACAGGACCTCGTCGTCATCACTGCCTGTGATGGCAGGGACAACGGATGGGAACCCAAGACGCTGGACGAGCTGGTCAAGCTGCAGGACCTGGTCGCGAAAGTACGGCATCTCGTCGAACAGTTCTTGCCGGATGCCCTTGTAAGAAGCACCCTGGCCGGTAAATGTGAGAACGACCGAGGGTGCGTTTGGCGGGATAGGCTTGGCTTCAGATCCGGCCTTGTTGTCGATGGCAGTGCGCAGGAACTTCTGAAGCCCGGAGACGCTTGAGACGGCCGTCGCAACGCGCAGGTTGTGCTGCATACGTCTTGCGCAAGTGGTGTAGGATAAATCAGCCAGGTCTACGTCGGCGTTCTTATCCAGGTAGTCCAGGAGGTTTTGGAGGTTGGCCTGCAGCGACTTCTTGCTTCTGGCTGAAATGACAATCGGGTGTAGAGCACGCCCGTCTGCACTCTCGGGGCTGATGCGAGGTCGATATCTCTCGGGGGGGTCTTCGAGAAGAAGCGTCGTATTGCCGCCGTGGGCACCAAAGGAGTTTACCATGGCGATGCGCTTCTTCCCCTCGGGACGAGGCCACGGGGTCATTTCCATTGCCAGACCGGCGTTTCTGCGATCAAGATCCTTTGGTATCGTAGGATTGATCTGCGTCTTGATGCCGACATGGGGAGGAATGGCACTCTTCTGGAAACTGAGAAGAACCTTGATAAGTGAGGAAATACCGGCAGCGGCTTCGCCATGGCCAATATTACTTTTCAGAGCCCCGAGAAGGAGCTTCTGATCTGCACGGCGGCGAGGCTTTATAGGGGCGAATACGTCCAGAACGGATTCTGATTCAATGGCATCGCCGGCTTGCGTTCCAGTGCCGTGCATCTCGACAAAGCTGACATCTAGAGGGTTGACCCCAGCTTTCTGGAGAGTTCGTCGATAGTTATCCTTCTGGTGTCCTGCGTGTGGGTGAGTTATTGAGATGGCATCTGCACAGTGATTTGTCGCAGCAGATAGCACAACAGCCAAGATGTTATCATTATCCGCCTCGGCATCCTCTAGCCGCTTGATCACAATAGATCCGATACCCTCAGCTCTGCAGTATCCGTCGGCGTCCTTATCCCAGACTTTACACTGTCCCGTCTTGGACAAGAAGTGGGCGTTACCAAGACCTGCATAGTTGTCCGGGTCGGTGATGATGTTTACGCCTCCGGCAATGGCGGTATCCGTCTCGCCGGCCCATAGAGCCATACAGGCCTGGTGAACTGCAGCCATTGAACTGGAACAGGCTGTATCGACGCAGAAAGACGGGCCGGCAAACTTGAAGAAGTAGTTTATACGGCCGGTGGTGAAGCCTCGAACGCCGCCTGGAACCGCATACGTGCCGATATTCTGCGAGGCATTCAGCTCCCGCCAATCGTCACTTGCCTGGCCATAGAAGGTTCCAATGCGTTCACGGCGAGTCGACGCGGTGCGGCCGGGAACAAGGCCAGCCATCTCCATGGCCTCGTAGGCTGTCGTGAGCGCAAGGCGTTGCATGGGATCTGTTTGCTCAGCCTGTAGACCATTAGCATCCGGCCGGACAATACGCCAAATTACTGGATTACATGAACAACATACCTCTCTTGGAGACATTGTGAAGAAACCTGCGTCGAAAAAGCCAGGGCGGTCGATAAAGTTCCCGTAGGGGGTAGTCGCCGCGTTCTCGGTATTGCCAGAGGGATCGTAATGAGTCTCCAGATCGAATCGATCCGGAGGAACCGTCGTGTGGACGTCACGGCCCTGCTCGAGCAATTCCCAAAACTGCTCAAGGTCATTCCCTCCGCCAGGCATACGGCACGCCATGCCGACGATGGCAAGCTTGGCATTCCCGGCATTGCTCGCCTGGCGAGTGCCAAAGTCTCGATGAACCCAGCTGACCATGTCATTCTTGACCATTTCCCTGCCGGGGAAGCTACTTTCAAGCGTCTCCAGAATCCCCTTGAAGACTATCGAGGTGCGGAACGTGTCGATCCGCAGCTCTTCAGCGCCGGAAACGGACCCGGCATGGCGGACTATGCCCTCGGTCACATTGTCCAGATAAATCGTTCCAGTGATCAGCTCGGCCGCAATCTCTGGCAACAACTCACCAGCCGTCGTGGCCAAAAACGGCTTCCCCGTCTTGGACGAGATCAGTGGAATCTGCAGCGTCCGCGACGGCGCAACGAGGGAGTTCGCCCCGTCAATGACGGCATCAATATCCTCCTGTGCATAGAGATGCTTGGCGTGGCAGAGCCCGTCGTAAACAGGCAGAGGTAGGGACTTGGCGTATCGCAAACTGCTCGAGTGCTGGAAGGCAGCCTTGATCCGGGACGGCGGTCCGCTCAGACTGACGGATGCTTTGTCGGCGGCGCTGATGAAGACTTTTGCGATTTCGGGATTCCCAAGCTCCTTGTTGATTCGCGCTAGCTCCTCGCTGGCGGACTCTTCGGACGTGCCTGTGATGACGTGTGCCCAGCTCTCGAGGATGCCGTCTGGCTGAGGCGCTTCCAGCTTGCTGCTGAAGTCGGCGACGTGGACGCCGAGCCGGAAGGAGACTCTCAGGCATTCGGCTCCGTTCTTGACCACCTCGGCGAGAGAAGTAGAGAGTGCCACGGCCGCGCCGGAGAAGAGGCCGACGCTGAGACCGGCCAGGGCAGTGTGGTCCTTGTGCAGATTGAGTTCTGCGTCCTTTGCTTCGTAGTGTCTGGTTCATGTTAGCTTCAGACTTGTAAGTTGTTGTTTGGGATAAGAGAATGGCGTACCCGATGAACAGGGCGAGTTGAAGGACAATTAGCAACGCGCTTTCCATGGCGGCCCCGAGTCCGAGTTCCCGAAGGTATCCATTTTCTGAGAGTGTTACAATGTTGTCAAAGTGAGGTACCTGGCTTCGAACATTGTGGGGGAGTTTTGCAATTTCCTCCTGGAGGACAAGAGTGGCCTCGTCCAGAAACGCAGAGAGCGAGCGGAACCGTCGATCTTTGCTGTGCTGGAGGAGTTTGCGGAATAATTCATTCAGGTCGTCGTTGGGGAACTCGTTGCCAAAGTAAACGAGCCTTGGTTGGGAGACGTCCGCCATGGTTGCGCCTTTGTAAACTGGGTGAGAAGCAGGCGGCAAAGGGGCTGTTGCTGATCTCCAAGAGAGTATGGCAGATTGGTCCGCGTGGCATATATATAGCATCGAGTTCTATGCAATCGTGTTGTGAGCTGCACACGGTTTTTGGGTCCCTTCAAGGCTTCAACCTTGCATCACAAACACAACGGGCATCCTCAGCCGCACACGAACCCCATCGCGGGACGGATTCAACGACGAGTTCGCAGCATGTTACACGGTAACGGTATTAGCAGCATCGTATGAGCCGCGTAAGAGGTATCTTCCGTCGTTGCGCCGTCTCGAAAGCGGCCTGCAAAACCCGATGCCGCCTTCACAGACAAAAGCCGACGCTCCTGGAGCTGGCTGGCGTAACAACTCCCCCGTAGTGACCCGAAACAGAATCTTCACCTGGAAGCAGTTCGCAGAGCCCGAATTCCGCAGAAAATTTGACCGGTCAGCTTCGGCGAGGAATTGCTCCTGCTGATTGTTGCACCGGCCAACACAATGCGCTGAGTCCTGGCCGTGCTAAAGCCGATCATCGAGGTAGTTGGAGAGGATCGATTCCATCGTACCATTTTCTGGTTAAATCACCACATGATGGATATAAAAACCGGCTGAGATGAATGAGTCGGGTATCCATTGCCAGAGGATGGCAAGTGGACGCGGCCAGTCGCAGAGTATAATTGCAAGACGATCCTTTACATGCATTTATTGTCCATCGTTTCCACTCTCCACTTGAAGAAGAATTTGTTTCGAATACTCTAACCGACAGTGTCCACAATGAGCGCACCTTTGGAGCCGATACCTCTCCCTGAAGCACCTCTCAGTGTCATCGACTGGGGTCGACTCAAGTGCAACGATGCTGGTGAGAGAGACAAGCTTCTCTCGGCGTGTGAGGGCCAAGGCTTCTTCTATCTAGATCTGAGCTGCGACGAGACCTTCCTGAAGGATTGGCAAGCCGTCCTTGATTTCATGGCAAACTACTTTCTTCAGGATGTAGCTGAGAAAATGAAGGACGATCGCCAGAGCGACACCCACGGGTACGTTGTGAAACCACGAGAGAGCGTCGGTAATAACCTGCAACTCACCTTGGAGAATAGTTACGAGCCAGTCGCAACCTCAACGGGCGCAGATGGAAACCACCTCGACTACTACGAGTCCCTCAAGGTATGACCGTGTCACCCCAAGCGCAACTGAATATCCTACCAACCAGCACCCAGGCCTCCAGAGACGAATTACTAGGACAAGACAGCAACCTCGCGCCCTCCATCAAGGAAAACCACAACCTCTTCCTGCGCTTCACCAACGCCGCGCAGCACGTATGCATGAGCATCCTCGGCCACCTAGACATTTGCCTCAACACCAACCAGTCCTCCAAGCTGGTCGACTTTCACCGGCCAGGCAAAGAATCCCTCACAACGCTCTCCATGTTCCGCTACCCCAAGCAGGACTCCCTCGCCCTCGGCGTCGGCCACAACAAGCACACCGACATCGGCACCCTGACCTTCCTCCTCTGCCAGCAATGGGGACTCCAGGTGCTGTCCAAAGAGCCCGCCGGATGGCGATTCGTGGCCCCCAAGCCGCGCCACGCCATCATCAACGTCGGCGATACTCTGCGCTTCCTCTCGGGCAACCGCCTCCGCTCGGCCGTCCACAAGGTCATTCCCACGCGGGGGCTGCAGCACGAGGACCGGTACAGCATTGCCTACTTCCTCAGAGCGGAGAATCGCATCCAGTTCACCGACAGCACGGGGCGGCACGTCTCGGCGAAGCAGTGGCACGACGAAAAGTTTGACGTGTTTAGGGAGACGCACGAGGAGCAGGACAAGATGCCCATCTTGACGGGGGGGATGGAGCGCATGGAGAGTATTGTGGTGTGAAGAGAGGGGAGGGCGGATATAGCTGGTGTGTAGAGGGATATTGGTCCGTTGGGATGAGAAACGTTTGTTGCAGTTTGTAGCTCGTGCCGTGCTTAATAGAAGGTATTCGCTGGATTACACGTCACCTTGCCGAATCATATATGATGTTTGCAGTTGCATGACGGAAATGTCACGGCTGTAAACTTGGAGACGAGCAACTTGATACGACGGCCGTTGACGTTGCTGCGACGTTGATGTGGAGGCTAAGCTTGGCGGATGCAGATGGCGTTTAAAATATAGTTTGTACAAGAATACATCTGCCCATTAGGAAGTATACGTGGATATCGTATAATATAAAGCGCAGCATTGAATGTCTGCTCTAGTCAAATGCTCCCGTCTCTCACTGTATGCACCTATGTATATATATATATATTAAAGTTTGAATTGTATCGCTCATTAGTCAAGGCAATTACAAGCATAATATATTGATGTATATATATCAATTGATATATATTCCCCACCCCCACCCAGCTACGCCCGTGTCACAAAACAGCTCCCAAAAAGCTCGTCCAACCGACGAACCGCCTCGTCCCCAATCTGATAGTGCACGACGAGCCGCCTCCCCATCATCTTCAGCCCCAACGCCTCGCCCTTCCTCACAAAATCCCCCTCGCTCACCCCCGCCGCCTCGAGATCCAGCCAAACCATGTTCGTCTCAACCGGATACACCAGCCCGCCGCCGCGCCCCTCCCACAAACCCGCAATCCGCCTCGCCCGCTCCTGCGCCCCCTGCAGCTTACCGCCCAAAAAGGTCTCTTCCACAGCGACCCTCGCCGCCGCGCACACGACGCCCGCCTGCCGCATCCCCCCGCCAATCGACTTGCGCAGCCACCTCGCCCTCTCGCGAAAGGCCTCGCTCCCAACCACCACCGAGCCGACAGGCGCCCCCAGGCCCTTGGAGAAGCAGAGGCTCACGCTGTCAAAGCACGCGCAGTAGTCGCGCAGCGATCCCGCCCCGGCGGCCACCGCCTCCCACAGCCGCGCCCCATCCAGGTGCAGCAGCACGCCGTGCCCTCGCGCCCACTCGCTGATGCGGCGGCACTCGGCGAGCGGCATCACCACGCCTCCCAGCGGACACTCCAGCGACACCAGCCGCGTCGGGCAGTCCGTCACGAGGGTGCCCCTGTTGAGCTTGGCCGCGAGGTCCTCCGCCGTCAGGTACAGCCCGTTTGCTGGCTCGACCGTCTGCACCATGGCGCCGCAGAGGCTCGCGATGCCCCCGGCCTCGTGGGTGACGATGTGGCTCCTGTGGTCGCAGAGGACGCTGTGCGGCGGCGCTTGGAGGTGCGTCCTGATGCTGACGAGGTTGCCCATGGTGCCGCTGACGACGAACAGGCCTGCCTGCTTGCCGGTGAGTTGCGCGACGCGCGACTCGAGCCCCAGCGTCGTGGGGTCCTGTCGAAAGTCGTCGTCGAGGAGCGTCGTGGCCGCGATGGCGTCGAGCATTCGGGCTGTGGGCGTGGTCATAATGTCGCCTGCGCATGGGTAGTCAGCCATCAATGTTGCATCTGATGTTTCTCGGGGACACGGGGGATGCGGGACGCCAACATACTGCGCAGGTCGAATGCTGCCGGCCCCGGGTGCTGCCAGTTATTTTCCTTGACGGGAGCTTCTTTCGGTGGCCCGTTTGACGTCCCGTTGCATAGATTTCCATGGGGTCCGTCTTGGCCAACGTCTTCGATGGATGTGATCATGGTGACCACTGACGGTGTTGGCTTCCGGCTGTAACCCTCAAGTGCTGCTTCGTACTCGAATTCGGTCGCTGGAAAGCAGTCCACGACAAAACATAAAGTATGCTGCAGATAGACATGTCTCCCCAGTCTTCGAATATACTCGGTCTTTTGTGTCGTTTGACGATCAAATTCCGAGGGCAGCCTTGGCCGCAAGTCAGCCCATTCACTCGGACGTCGGGTTTTGATGTTGGAATCAAAACCCATCAGGCGGCTCCTATGGCGGCCGGGTCAGACGGTGCAACATTTCATCAAAGGCATTGTCTCACAAAGCCTTGTCTTGTTGAAACTGTCCCAATTTGGAAGTGAGCGGCTCTTTCGACCAGCAATCGGACCGGAGAAACTCATCAGAGTTCTGGTCCCAGTGTCAGCGAAAACATGTCATGAGAGAATTCTCATCATTTTATACATGTAATTTTGATCAAGTTTGGAACAAGTTTCCGGATAGAAAGGATAGTCGGGCGAGGCATTATTGGAAGTTACGCGCCACAAACTTGAGAGGCTTGGGGAACAAGTACATAGTCCGATAACAGACAGCATATTGAGACTATGTAATACTTTTTCTTCTTCAAGTAAACTAAACCGCATAAGGTCTGTGCTATAGCCATCAACACATCGCCTCTGCAGGTGGCAAAGGCCAGAGTTGATGCCGTCACCTCCATCCTGCGCCACAAAACAATCACATGTTGCACACCCCAATTCTCTCCCCGTTCAAATCTCCAGTGAGGCAATATGCCGTGATATCGTCGAGGTGAATTCCCCATATACGCAAAGGATGAATCTCGAATAATCTGGCGCAAGCCAGCATGCGAATACTATTCACCGTCGTCCAACTGTTGACGGCTACCCTATGACACCATGTCTGCCCAGATCGCCGAGAACATCTGTCCCGAGCGTTGTCCTGATAACAAAATCCGGGCGGACATCGAGATTGACCAGCACTACACCTACAAGATCTACACGCCTGGAAGTCTCATCGCCGGCCATGTGACGATTTCAACGCCATCCGACGTTTTATTCCACAACATCGACATCTTATTCGTGGGCAGCGCCGCAACCCGAAACTTCGTCCAGCCAGATCCCGTATGCGCAACAAGGCCATTTCTGAAGCTATGCATGCCGATAGACGACGCTTCCTTTCCATCAGGCCATCTCTTCAAAGCCAGCAAGATGTACACGATCCCCTTTCATTTCGTGGTGCCCGCTCAGTTGCTCTTGGGCTCGTGTCGACACCGTTGCAAGAACGCGGCAGTTCAAGAACGTCATTTACGACTACCTCCTTCCATGGGATTCTGCCCAGGTGACGACCAGAGCCCTGATGGGGCGAGGGTTGTGTACAGCATCATCGCCGTTGGTACAAGAGATGTGTTGGATCCGCCTATACCGGTGCGCCTATTCACTGCGTACAAGACGATCCGGATTCTTCCAATAAGTCCTGAAGATGCGCCGCTCGACATCACAACCGACAATCGTCGATATGTACTTTCCAAGACACAGTGTCTTTGGAAGACCTTCTTCACGGGGCGTGAAGGTATATTGACAGCATCGGCTTCACAACCCAAGGCTGTTTTGCTGTCGCCAGACGAGACAGGGGCATCATGGTCCTTGGTGCGACTAAAGTTGGTCTTCGCACCTGCTTCGTCGCTCTACACGCCTCCACGGATAAAATCGGTATCGGGAAAGATTATTGCCACGACCTTTTTTAATATTTCGCCTCTCAATCGCCTTCCCAGTATCGAAACCTGGGACAGAGGCGAGGATCAACCGTTCCAACATACAACGGGCCACAAACTATTTGACGAGCAGGCCGAGGGACTCGTTTGGAACAAGGATCCTGATATTGCGGAGTTGGAGCGACGGCGTGCATCATATCCTTTGGACCCTTCCCACTCGCTCAACCGACCTGATGAGACCTTGACTCGCAACCGCACCAACGAGGATGGCGGCGCCAGACCGTCAACATGCTTCACATCGGCCATGGACATTCAGTTCAGCATTCCCAGCGACAAGAGCGTCTTCTTCCCGCCGTCGTTTGATTCATGCCTCATCTCCCGGGTGTATTCCTTACGGCTCAGTATTTCCCTTGGAGCTGCCCATACGAGCCTTGTTCTGAAACTACCTCTCCAGATTGGTGTCCAGGGCGCAACCCCCCATGCTTTTCGAGCCGGAGGGGGCGGCAACGAGTCGGAAAGGATGAGGGCTGCAGCGTGTTACAACGTACTGCCCGAGTACAGCTCAATATTCTGATCAGTGCGAGTTGCTACGTCATAATAAGGCATAGGTGGTGTCTCCATCCTGCTCATGTATATACCATAGCAAGTGTCGACAAACATTTTCAAATCAGGTGCAGCACAAATGACCATTTCTGACTCATACAAAGGGCTTGGACGGTAGACAACGGCCCTGTGACATGTCAATTTTGCTCCAAACGGCATCGTTTAGGCCCTACTCGAGCAGTTGGATACCCCAATGCCGGATGCGGATGTATGCAGCCTGTTTGGATAGGAACTGCATCAGGGAGGTGGGTATTCTCGAATTATACATCTCCTCGGAAACCAACACTAGTAGTGTTAAATGGAATGAATCTGGTCAACCAGAGTAGCGCTTCCTGCGCCAGACACAAACCTCAGCAGTCAACGCCGCTGGTGGCAACCAGTGGATGAATCTCGGTCGGTATCGGGCTTCGGGATTCCTGCACCTTGGCGGAAAACATTCAGAGATCTGGGGAAACGGGCCGGTATGGCCCTCTTTTCTCCTCATCTTAATCGGCTTCAAACCGCGTGAATGACGCCACGGTACCAATATTGGCTGCTGACAACCACATGCATCCGCTTAACGGAAGAAGTCCCGCGTTCAAAGTCCCCTCAAAGGTTGTATTGCATCGTTTTTTTTTCAAGTGTTTGTCTTGGAGGCTTAGTGCTGCTGAAGATGGCTCTGGACCAAAAGCTGGGATTTAGGTTACACGGCTTGACGTCGAGAATCATGGCGCCACAGGTGTAACCTTTGGGAGATGGTTCATAAGGCCTTGACTCTCTCGACAAAAAAAAAACGAAATACTTGAAGGACATGATGCTCATAATATTTCATGTCGCTCTGTTGACAATATGCGGCACTTGTTCTACAACTCTGTCGCCGCGGGCCGCCGACCGATGGCGAGTTTCGGGATTCAAACTGCGGCGATGTGGAGACCATCGCCGATGATCCGGCCGATATCCTCCGCAGCTCGAAACTCCTCAAGCAGTCGCAAGACAGTCGCTGGCGTCCCGGCCGTTCTTGCCTTTATATGTGCTGGTGGCTTGACATACTCGGTTTTTCGTCGAGATAGCAGTTTGGGTCTCTTTCGGAAAAGTAACGCATCTGGGGGAAATCCCGTACGTGATTCGCCTTGAAAAGGGATCAAATTGTCTCCCGCCAAATCCCCGCGCTTGTTGACATATATTCAGGCTTCCTCTCCCACGGATACTTTCCCTAGCGTCGAATACTATAAGTCACTTGATGAGCAAACAGACGTCGACAAGCTTCCAGTAGAGGAAGCCCGACTGACAACGGCCCCCAACGCCCCACCAGTCATCACGCGCAAGCATCCCGTGCTTCTCCGGGTGCCCTTGCAAACCATCACCTCCCTTTCCCAAGTGACGAATCAGTACAAGTACGAAGAGTGGACGTTCAACGGCACCACACCGGGTCCCTTTATCCGAGCACGAGTCGGCGACGTGGTAGAGCTGTCCCTGACGAACTGCGACGTGACCGGGAATCCGCATAACATCGACAGCCATGCATTCGCCGGCCCGGGTGGCGGATCGGCGCTCACCACGGCAGAAGAAAACGAAACAAAAACTGGCCGATTCAAGCTCCTCTGTCCGGGGCTATACATTTATCACTGCGCCGCGGCGCCGGTCCCCGTCCACATAGCCAACGGCATGTACGGGCTCATGTACGTCCAGCCGGAAGATCAGGACTTGCCCCCCGTCGACAGGGAGTACTATGTCATGCAAAGCGAGATATATCACGAGCCGCCAGAGCTCGATGACTATGGGCGTCCTCTGAATGTCGTGGAGTTTTCATACCCCAGAGGGCTGCGGGAGGAGCCAAACGCAATCGTTTTCAACGGCAAAGAATCTGCCCTCACGAGAGACGCGCCGCTCAAGGCCAGGGTCGGGGAGACGATACGCATCTTCTTTGGCAACGCCGGACCAAATCTCACCAGTGCCTTCCACGTCATCGGCAGCCACTTCTTGAACTGCTACCGTGACGGCGATGTGATGAGCCCTCCCGCGCGGTTCGTCGGCACGACGAGCGTGCCGCCCGGTGGTACGAGCATTGTGGACATGAAGATGGTTGTCCCGGGCAGTTATACAATTGTTGACCATGCCATTTTTCGCATAGACAAAGGTGCTGTGGGGTTCATCAATGTTTCCGGCCCGCAAAGACCGGATATCTATGTGGGAAATCTGCCTCCCCAACCTTGTGTTGGTTGCAAGTTACATGCTTGATAAGGAAGGTCATCGCGTATGCATGTAAAGGAGTTTCACACTCTGTCATAGACGTGGGCATGAGACTGGCACGTATTCGTTCCCGGGCGTAACGGAGCATAAAACTGTAAACTGTGCCACTATAGTTGCGGTATATACTAGAATGGGCAATTGTTCTAGTAATTGCAATACAGAGTGGTGCCTAAATGTTGAATGATGTCTTGAATGCTAGGCGCAACGTGCGATCTTTATGACGCGTTTCAGAGAGCGAATCTTCTTACGACATGCCGCTGGCAATGTCAAGGTGATGTTGGCACAGTGAGCGTCTGTATTTGAAATATGTTAGCTGGCGGGCTACAATAATTTTGCAATTGAAGTGCCTCCATGGGTGTAGCCCGCCTCGTGAATGCTGGCAATCGCTTGCGACGGCTGTCAGTTACCATGAATACAACTTCGGTGCGCATTCGAAGGCCTCTGGTGCCAGTGTACGCTTAAATCGTAAACCAAAAGCTGGGACCGTGAAGCTTCATGACGAAGCATGTGTGTACTCCGTTAGGACTCTGTTCCTGAAACATATCGAACAGGACGGGACATGATAGCTTGCATTGCGTAGAGTAATGTGCATATGTTGCAATTGCTCACCAACGACCGGCGTATTCGATTTATGAGCTACCAAGACTCTTAGGGCTATGTCAGGGTTCAGTCAGTGGATTCAAGAGAGCCTGCCTGGGGTGCCATTGCAAACTTACTTCTTGCTGGCGGAAACATCTCTAGCAATCCATGTGATGGGCCAGATGTCCCAACCTATTTTGTTTATTATGCGGCATTTCCCTTATTTCATTGTCTGCTTCAAACATATGGGATAGTAACCACCATGGCGATAGAGTCAAATCTTCATGGTCGTTGATAGAAGTAGGCCAACGGTGGCATGGAAAGCCAACCGCGTTCCATACCCGAACCATGCGGTAACAGCAGTCGCGGAACGACAACAGTCAAGATGCATATTTTGGTGCCAGAGTTGGAGGTTTGAAACTCGAAGCGGCAGAATAGTTCAACAGCTTGCAGCAAATTCGTTGGCGAGCTCAGAACGGATGAGTTATAGTGTTTTAGATGGAGCTCGTGGCTAAGAGATGGACCGTGGGGGGGAATCGGCAGGAACTGGAAGCTGGCCACTTGATGGCAGCTGCAATTCAAGCGGCAGCCGGAACGAACCGCACTTGACCCAATGAGAATCACAGCTCACCGAGTCATCGACGACCTGAAGACAGAGGAAGGTACGGAGTATTCAGGTCCCGAATATCCGCGCCTGGGCGAGAAGAGTCCTCGAACTCGCAGAGCCGTCGACTGACTCTACCAGGCGGAAGTTGCATTCGCGCATCAGGGGTTCCTCTGACAGTTCGACTCTCCGTCTCTTCGCCTTACTGTCGGCCCTAATCCCAAATCCACGACTGAGTTCCCGCAGCCAGGTCGACTGCGTAGAAGTAGCGGTTCCAGGGCCTATCTGGGATAAGATCGATGGAAACGGCGAAAACGACAATATGAGGCACGCGAATCAAAGGGTGCAGCCCACGGCTCACGGCCCTTATTTGCCGTCATTTCGTCCGCAGGAGAACCCGGCCGCTGTGGCTGGATAAAATTCAATAACCAGACGCCTTGCTCAGGTGGATCTAGATGGACATCCAAGGACACTTGAACCAGCCCTACCCGTAACGTCCCGCAACATTCAGCCCTTGGCAACAGAAGCTCGCACCAACCAGGGCAAAGGCGCTTGCAATATTCGGTAATGCCCAATGTACGGAGTAGACGCCCAGACCGAGCGTTTGGTAAACGACAAGGTGCGTCTCCTTGCGGGTAATCAGCTCTTGAAGGACGGTTGCTTCGCAAAGTCCAGGCCCTGGGATAGGCCGCGCTCCACTTGTCAGATCACAATATTAGACAATTTTACCTATCAATATGCAGTCAGCCTCTCGGCTGGATAAGAGGCTTGCGTCAATTGGAGGCCCAGGGGCCAGCAACAATAAAACGAGATATTTGGTCCCAGATGGCGAGGTCGCGGCTGAACATCCATTAGTTGAGAAGAGGGGTTTTTTTCTCTTCCTCCTCTTCCGCCATCTTTGAGAATCCTTCATAATGTCCAGCAGTGCCAATACCACCGACTGCCGAAGCGAATACCTCTGACGTGTTTTGTACACAGCTTCTGCACACCGTACACCGCAACCTCAGCCAAAGATGCTTCGGAGAGCTCGAACTTCTGCAGCTCAGGCCGATGATTTGCATACATATCCCTTGGACTGGCCTCAATCACAGCGCTGGAATCCAGACTATAACGTCCCACGCAACTCTCTCGAGGATGATGACAGCCTCGCACAGTCTTCAACATTATCATCAACTCAGCCCAAGGGGAAGACAGTATATACGGAAGCGACAGTAAGAAGGCAAGATGGCCAGCATAGTACTGCAGTGCATGCCCAGAGCCGTCATCAGGCGGCTGGTTTGGGATCTCAGCTACCGGACTTGTCTCACTGGCTTAAAACACTTTCGGAAATTTACATGAATAATCTGGAAAACCGTGCGCGTTGGGATCCCCGCTGGTTGAGCATTACCCGACGTGAGCGGCACGAAGGCCTTGCATCCAGCACAATTACCATCCTAGACTACATGAACGACGAATCGGTACCTCTAAAAACAACTACTACAGAAATAGCTCAATTATGTGTTGCTTTGCAGGAAAGACCGGAAGCATGCGCGGTTCGAGTCTTGATGGTGAACGACTTGAGCCGGTTTGTCATGGGTGCCTTGGGGCAGCTGTATGCGGTTGATCCGGAATTTTGGTTTGACCATCTCACAAACTCTGGCTACGCCGCAAGTGACAGTCAACTCAAAGTCTCGAGCGCAGTATGGATGAATTGGGCTGAACGAGAAACTCGCTTTCGTCATCGTTCACTACCAGGCATTGGTCAACGAACACAGTGGAATACCTCAAGCAGAACTAGAGGTCGAAATTGGGGACATATTAGATGGGCACGTCTAGGCTTAATGCACTATTTAGGGAAGAAGGGTTTCAATGAAGACGAGATAGAGTGCCGGCTTGGCGATGGCAGGTGGCTAGTCGAACGCGATGTGTTTCTGGACAAGTACGGATTTTTCATGACGCCGCGCAGACTACTCAGACACGCTCAGTTGGCGAAACGGTCATCCAACAAAAAGCCACAGGACTTATACTCAAGAGCCAAAGACTCCAACATCTACCGCGCATACAGTACCTTTGACGGTCTACCCAAGAATGTGACAGCATGGAAGAACCGGGATTTGAGAGTCGTGGCCCCAGAAGGCGCCAGCTACTGGTCTGGAGCAGATGAGCAAGGCCGGCGGATAGGTAACAAAACTCTATCTCAGAATTGAAACAGCCATGTTAATCATTTTATGCAGATATCATTGTCTTCGACCCCCCACGGCGAATGAAGGATGGCATAACGAAGGATACAATTCCCTCTCTTACCTTTATGCCCAGAGCAATCGAAGTGGAATCGTATACCGATGATGATCTTTGGCGCATCGCCGGCGTAGAAGAGACGTTTCTCGACCCTCCCCCACCCTTAATCTCTAAAAAAGAAATCAAAAAGAAACGAAAGGAGCAATTGGCTCAAAGAAGAAATGAGAAAAGGGCCTCTGGATCCAAGGAGTTGCGTCACAATGAAGCCACCGATGAAGAATTGGGCATCAGCGTCGAGTCTGGGTCTGAATCTGGGTTTACCAGTGATGATGAGTACGACCAAGACTACAACAATGAGTTGCGAGCTGAATATAAGAACCCCAAGCCTCATTCTAGGGACCGGGACTTCGCTAGAAAATACGCAATGCCAACATTCAATCTAGTAGAGCGTCTTCTCACTGCCACTCCAACACAAGCACTTTTGGGTGATGAATCGCCTATTCCGGCTCTACTCTACCGGCTTGTTCTCGACGATTTTTGGCAGCTTTTGGCAGAGATGCGATTGCAGCTTGATCACTTGGATAATGACCTGACAGCCACGCTGTATGAACAGCTTGTCGAATCTATTGGCAACTCCACACGGCAGAATCTTACCTGGATGCGGTCTACTCTGCAGGAATTGCACGACTGGTCCAATCACTTGAGAAAGTCTGGGGCTACTTTGAAAGCAACCCTAGACATTCAGCAAGAAATCGAAGAATTAAATGCAAATGTTCAGGATCTGCAGCGTCGAAGCGAACAGACAATGAACTTACTAGTGTCGTCAATGACACTTGCCCAGTCGTCAACGGTTATTGAACAGACATCTGGCATTAACAAACTCACCGAGTTGGCATTCTTTTTTATTCCCGTGTCATTTATTACGTCCATCTTCTCTATGCAAGTTTTCGAGCTCATATCGGCCCCGCCACGAATCTGGACTTGGGGCCTCTCATTATCAGTTGTCGCCTTGACGACCTATTTGATCCGAATATCACTGCGATCACCTTCCTTTCGTGTGGTACTGTTGCATTTCCGAGCAACAATCATTAATCGGTTTTCTGCTCCCGGCGCAGGCACGGCTTCTAGGCGTCTAAACACGGTCGGCAATCGTGCAATCGCCAAATTTATATTCTTCTTCACCGCTGTTATGACCATGTTTTCCATGGTGGTTCTTCCGGCTCTGTTCCTTCTATTTCTTCTAATGGGGGGCCTTTGGCTTGGCATCACAGGCGTGGCCTTGTACTTTATAGTGACCAGATGGCCCGAGGCCGCCGTGCTCGTCCCCTGCTTTATATCTATTCCGGTGGCACTTCTCGGGATGGCTACTTGCTGGCACTGGCATGAAGAAATTTCGGACGGATGCCTTGCGGCGATAAATTGGAGCGTTGAATGGATAAAGTGGGTGTTTCCAGCGCAGTGGACGTTGGACACAGTGGATGACGAGGACTTGGCCAAGGAGGGTATCAATATATACGCACGGCAGGCGCTCGTTCTGGCGACATAGAATTGCAGGTGCGTCTGGTCCAATTGTTAAATACCACAGGCAGGATATGAGATCTAGTGTACCCGAAGCTATGGTCCATCCCTGAAGGATGTTGTCGGATTTTGGATCCTTTAACCCTTGTGTACCAAGTAGTGCTTGCAATGTCGATATCATTATTATTGACCAATTCATAGCCACTAATCCACTACTTCACCATCCAAATATGTATAATTGGCGTAAGGAAGCGTCAATTTCGTGATGCTGGAGATCGCAAGCAGATGTATCAGACACAGTCTGCAGTACAGCCCTTTCCCCGTCGGTTCTTCATACAGAAATCTGTTCGACGGTAGATGTAGGAGGGATTCATACAGAAATGAAAACGATAATCACTCTTCTAGGTCTATACCAGCCTACAGTGGGAGGCAAAAACGTATCAACCAGGTCAGATACCTGACTTTCACAATTTATACTACAATACACTCTAATACATTGGTGCATACTTCTTAGTGGGCAATATATTTTGCCAGACTGTAGGGAATGACATGGCCATCATCAGCAAGATGTTCCAGAAACCAGAGCTGAATGGGTTCTTGTATAATGTCTAGTGCAATGGCCTTTATGCTAAAAGTTGTCTAAATTGCGGTGTAGTCTATGTAAATCTAGTGATTATAATGAGTCCCTCAACAAAATAACTTCCCCATGAGTCCCCCAGCTCAACATCATCGTCAAGTCTGTGACAATCTTTGAAACAAAACTCACCTCCGTCCAGCTTTACAAATGTGTGTTGCGCTAAACACCACTCATATCACCCTCTTCGGATCCTCATCCCACTCCCGGACATGGAGTATACATGCAACTCGTCCCCCATGTCACTTTGGCATGCAATGTCAACAATCTTCACCCAGACGCAAACTTGGACATGGCCCTCAACCGAGGCCCCCAAACCCAGAATATGACCGGAGCCACCCACCCAATGGCAATACTGATAAAGGCCAGGATGCTCGTTCCCCAGCCGTACCCCAGCTCCTCATACATGTACGGCGCAAACAGGGGGAACCCAAAGCCCGCCAAGCTCCTGAGAACCGCGCACGCGGCCATGGCACTCGCGGCGTACGTCTGGTAACAGTCCACAATGTACATCTGCATCCCCTGCAGGCAGCAAATCACACCGACGCTGCAGAGCAACGCGCCAATGTCCGGCATGATCCAATGCGCGTGGCCGATGCTCCATCCGTACCAGAACAGCCCGACGGTCAGGACGACAGAGCCAATGGCCAAGCTGGGCATGCGGAACTCGGGCCGTCCGACGCCGCCGTTCCTGCTCTTGAGGGCGCCGTACACGCGGTCCACCATCTTCAGCTGCAGGAAGATGCCGACAAAGCACCCGATAGCAATGGAGAGGTAGTTGAGGCCCCCCACCCCCTTGGACTGGCCGTACACCTTGGTCCAGATGTCGGGGAACGTGGCAAACATGAGGTACAGCGTGCCAAAGAGGTAGGCCATGTAGACGGCGATGCAAGCGACGATGGGCTGCGTGGCAAACATGCGGACGGGGCGCTGCACCGCGCGCAGCAGCGTGCGGCCCAGCGTCTCCTCCTTCTCGCCCGTGTACAGGTCCCGGTTGCCCGTCTCGCGGGCGAGGCGGTCCCGTCGCCGGCGGAGGATGGTCGGCGGGTGCGACTCGCGCAGCCACACGAAGCCGAGGGCCTGGACGACGGCCGCCGCGATGCTGGTGGAATAAAAGACCCATCGCCACGTCGAGTACTGCGCGATGAAGGCGCCGGCAATGGGGCCGATGACGGGCCCCAGCATCGGGCCCATGGTGTATGTGCTCATGGCCTTGCCGCGCTCCTCGGGCTTCCACATGTCGCTGTTTTTTTGCCTCGTCGTCAGCCAAGTTGGAGGAGAGAAACGCTCTCGCGGTGTCTACTTACCTCACTGCGCCGCCGCCTACGGCTAGGGGCGCGCTGCCGCCAATGCCAGCGAGGAAGCGAAAGACAAACAGCTCGGCCTTGGTGTTTGCAAACCCGCACGCCAGATTCCACACCAGGTACCACAGGTTCGTGATCTGCAGTATCCTCACTCGTCCGTACAGCTCGCTCGCGGGGCCGAAGAAGATTGGCCCGACGGCGTAGGCGAGGATAAAGATCGCCAGGGAGAGATACACCTCCACGTTGCCCTTCATGTCGAGGCTGCGGCCGAGGTCCTCCAGCGCGGGGGCAATCATGGCGCTGGAGATGGGGGAGATGAAGACGAAGAGGGAGACGGTCAGTGTGGTTTTCCACTTGGTAGGCCGGGGCCAGTTGCGCGGATGCTCGGGGTCGGAAGGCGCCCATGCGATGAGGTTTGGGTCGACGTTCTTGGGCGTGTCGGAGTCTGTGTTTGCGGTTGAGGGTTGCGCGGATTCGAGGTCCGCATTGTCGGCGGGCTGCTTTTCAGCCATGGTGTTTGACGGCGTTGAACGGCAAAGCAGGGAGTGCGTGCAAGGGCCTCGAGCTGTGTGATGGATAAATTGGCTCGACTTGGAACAAATGTTCCAGGTGGTCATCTATATATATGTGTACGTCTCGCGATGGCACTTACACCGTTCACGACCGGCAACTTGCGCAGGTCTGGCCAATCAGGGACTCTTATTGTTGTTCGGGCCCGATGCGGTCGGTGAGGGCCGAGGACTCAGCCAATAGTGTGTGCGGTTTCTTCGGCCCCGTGTGTTCACTTCCACCCGGATTCTTGTGCCAGGTGGCAGCCGGACTGACAGCCGGGCTGACACCTGAAAATCTGCGAGAGGTAAATAAGTCATAACTCAACATTGGATGGACGGCTTCACAAAAGGGGCAAAGAGCGCAAAGTAGTAAGGAGCATCACGTCATTATTAAAAAAACAACACGCCTCCATAACCCATCTACTTAATCCGTCTTCTTTTTGCCCTCCCTCGCAACCTTCTTCTCCGCCTCGCTCACAATCTCCCCCGCCCTCTTCTCCTTGTCCTCCAACACCTTCTTCAAATCCTCAACCGTGTCCTTGAGCAGCTGCTCGCCCTCGCTCCAGTGCTTCTCCGCCACGTCCCCGATCTGCCGCAACTTCTTCATCACCTCGCCGCCCTGCGGAACCGCGTCAAAGTACTTCTCCAGCCCGGAGCCCTCTACCGCCCTGGCCGCCTTGGCCCTGGCCTTGTCAACAGCCCCCCGTACATAGTCCTGCAACTCATCCACGCTGCCCGACTTCTCAGCCGAGCGAAGCCTGTCAAACAGCTGCGACAGACTGCCCTTCTTCAACGACTCGGCATTCTCCTCGAGCAGCGTCTTGACCTTGGGGTTCTTGTCCAGATACGGCCTCGCCGCCTCCATGCCCTTTGTCCACGCCTCGTCCCCCAGGCCCTTGACCTGCTGCGCCTTGTCCTCGAGCAGCTTGCGCGCCTTGGCGAGACTCTCCTCCGAGACGCCGCTGGCCAAAATGTCCCTGACCTGCGCCCACGTCTGGTCGACCTGCCTCTTCGCCTCGGGGCCGTAGCTCTCCGCCATGGACTTGAGCTCGTCAATGCTCGCGCCAAACTTGTCCTTGAGCCGGGGGTGGTTGTCGAGGATGTCGGAGAGCGCGTCCTTGGACAGCTCCGCGATGCGCCTCGACATTTCGGCCAGCACGTCGACGGCCCTCGACGCCGTCTCCAGGCTCAGGCCCGCCTTGGAAACATCCCCCAGCTTCTTGTGGGTGTCGTTGACAATGGCGTCCACCTCGTCCTTGTGGCTGTCGCGCACCGTCTCCCAGTCCTTGAACGCCGCGTCCACGTAGCCCCTGCCGCCCGGGATCCACGCCGCGTACGAGTAGGCAAACTGCTTGATGGAGTCGACGGCCTGGTCGGCGCTGGGCGGGTTGCTCTGCAGCGTCTTGGCGGCCGCGTCGTACTTTTTCGACGCTTCTGCGGCGGCCTTGTTGAGCTTGGAGGCGGTGCGGCCGGCCGGCGTGAACGAGTAGGCGCCGAAGACGACCGCGGCGCCGACCACGCCGCCCAGGATGCCGGTTGCAAAGTTTGAGCCGGACGATGAGGAGGAGGCGGTGGTGGTGGATTGGCAACGGAGCTGGCAGGCGGGCTGGTGGAATCGCGCCCGTCTGGCGACGAGCCGGGGCAGTTGTCTCGACAGCATGTTGAGCTCCGGCTACACGGGGAAGAAAATGTTGAGGGGATGCGATATCTTGCTTGCGGTGCGCTCAGTTGGTGGGTTGGGAAGATGAGGAGCAGGGCTCAATTGAAGTATTTAAAGTTTCAGCTGGACATGTTGCAAGGCACTTGAAAGCAGGTTTTGCTCATGGCCGTTTACAGACAGCTCGGAGGGGTGGATTTCGAAGCTCCTCAATCGATGACGTCGGCGGAGGCCGATCAATGCGCCAATGTACGGTGGCATCGTGCGGAGCTTAGCTAATGTGCGACCGTACCAATGGCTAACCTGCATGTGCGTTTCTTGCATCTGGAAAGTCCTCCCAACGCAGAAAAATGGGGCTGGTGGACATTCAAAGGTGAACATGAAGGCTCAATTGGGATGGAGGAGCTGAAGATTGGGATCTAGCCCTCTGTACGGGTTGTCTTATTAGCATCTCGGGTCAATGCATGCATACAATTACATCATTTCACACATGTTTTCCCCAACGGGAACAGCTCACCACCAGTAGACAACCCTCACACGGTAATACCCGTTGCCAAGAGCACTGCGGTCGCCAAAGAGAACGAGTTCAATATGGATAGGCCATGTTTACCTTGGTCAATGTAGCTTTAGGCTCTTCTCCACATGCCCCAGTCCCGGATTATCAACGTCAAAGTCAAGCCCATCTGGAATCTTAATCCCGTCCCTCTCGTAACTAAACTCCTTGAATCGCTGCACTGAAATACCATCTTTCCGCAGCCACCAAGTCTTTCGTCTCCATCTGCCACTTCTCAACTTCTTCCCGCAGCTGCTTCACTACTGAATCATACTCCAGTGTGCCCGCCAGGTTGTGCACCTCCTTTGGGTCGGCTTCCAAATCGTACAGCTCCCCGGCAGTCTTTTTTTTTTCGCTCTTCAGCGGCCGCCTGCCAGTCCTTGGTGGCGACGTATTCCGCATGGCTTCAAAGGCGGGTGATGCGCACAGGTCCATTGCGAATGGAAAGCTCAGCTTTCAGCACACATAGCCGTGGCACTTATACCGTCGGTTTCGCAGGTATTTCCTAGGCCAGTAGTTGGTGATTTCGTGGAAAGTGTGTGAATCGCATACGTGATCCCGTGCTTCTTAGATGGTTGCCGAGTCCTTTGATACGATTGATCGTCCCTGACAAGGTCAAACGCAGGCATCAGACGGCTGGCGATTACCTTGACCGGCCCAGTCGAGGAGCGCCAGGAAAACATCAATATATGACATCATGTTCAGGGGGGTAGCGCCGGCGCCCTTTCCTGGCACTCGAACGATGAATGGTAACCGCATGCCAGCGTCATAAAGTGTAGTCTTTGAGTTAACAAATGGCGGTCTGTTATGGCTCAAAAAGAGTACCAAGGTTTCGTCTGCCAAGCGCTCCCGCTCAAGAGCCTCCAGGACAAGGCCGATCCCCTGATCCGTTCGGTGAATGGGGCGGTAGTATTCTGTAAGTTCTTGTCTGGCCGCAGAAAGATCCTGCACAAAACGAGAAACTTCAACTTCGTGCAGGCTAAAAACGCAGTCCTTTGAGCAAGCATCAGAATTAACGTCTAGATTTCTAAACCCTCCACGGCTTGCCAGCACTCTGTGAGGATCAAGATGCAGAGTTTGTAGCCAATGTCGTTGAAAACCTGCGGAGCGCTTGTCCACATTCTTCCATATTTGAAAGCTATGAGTTCCAAGAATAACCCGTAGCCGTCATTTTCATGCGATTTCAATCCCGTGTAAATGGCTGCCCTGCTGCCGCTGCATGAAGCCGTACTGGCAAAGGCCATGTCAAAACGGGAACTTAATGGCGTAAGCGAGTCGAGGCCTGGTGTCTGTGGCGCTTTACATCCGTCCGTGCCAATACGTTCTCACTCAAGATCGTCCGCAATCATGAGCAGTACGTTTCTTTTCGGCGCCATGGTTCTAGGGTTCGTGCCAGGTTCTTAGGCATGCCGAAGTAGCAGCCCCAGGCCTCAAGTTCAACATGAGATAGCACTAAATCGCTTCGGTCCAAGATTGCGATACAGAGTCGTCCATATCCTCGTTGGACACAGAACCGCCCATTTCCATGATTCCGTACATGTCCCAGGACAAAAAGCTTTGCAAGTCGTCGAGGTCAAGCGCATTGCACATTGGTTGGGTGGCCCCAAATTTACGAAGTGGATGGAGCGGAACTGGTCTTTCATGCTGCAAACTGGATCGAACCGACTGCTCCTGGCTGAGGCCTACGAGCTGGTGAGCTGCAGCGCTGGTTCCATCCCAGGACGCCGGTCCCCCAGCATGAGGATTCTGAGTGCTCCAGCTAGCGGTTCGTGCAGCTGCATCGCCGTCCATGCCACGAGATTCGGTGGTCCCGGAGCGAGCGAGTGAATGAAGAGAAAGGGGAGGGAGGTCGTATTCTCCCGGCTTGTCCTGCTTTCCACTCGCGTTGTTTGGTCTACGCGCCAAATTGATTAATGTTTACTCTGGTGAAACTCATGGTTTGATAACTTACAACGCTGAGTGGTGAGATTCAAGATGGTCATCCGCTTCAAGACTGCTCAAAAGGTCATCGCGAGCAACTGTTTTCTGGACCTTGGATAGCCATCGCTCAATTGTTGCAGACTACAAGACAAGGAAGAGGTTAGTGCGGCATAAAAGGTATCGGGGCCTTGACGTCTTACCAATGACTGTGCGATTGGAAACAACGCGGACATCATTCCCAGAATCCTGTTGTTGCTCTCCACCGCCTTCACCGCGTCTCTCAGCTTAACCTCTGCATCTGGTCTATTGGGGTCCAGCAGGCGGGCAACATAGTATAACATGACCCGGCTGCTGTCGTAGACGAAAAATGGCAACAAGCTGTCTGAGAGAAGTCGTGAGCCGTGCTCTGCAGCTTCTGCTAGTATATCCGCGATTTGCTGGGCATGATAATATGCGTTGGCTTGGGCTGTCTGAAGAAATTCCTGATGTTCTGGGGGGAACGTGAAAGGCTTGGGAAGTTTAAAGAGGTCGGGCATGGTGAGCTTGAAAAGCTCCAAATAATTATGATGATAGGTGCAGTGAATGAGCACAAGTGCACCAAGTTGGTTTGAGTCCAGCCGTGCATAAATTGTTTCGGTGGTGTACTCGACGAAATCTGGCAACTCTCTTCGCCATAAAAGCAAGTCTGCATCCAACGCCGCGAAAAGAGACTCTGGCTGCCAGGGGGGTGGTCCTGCATGTAAGTGATTGACATATCGGACTATTCTCTTCCACAATGTCACAACTCGGATATAGTAAGCCATAATGCCCATGTTGGCCGCGGGTCGTCGC